ACAGTGGATCTTAAGAGGTATTCAGGACGTGGTTCTGTTTCGATCTAGCAGCTGTGTGTTTGTTCCAGTGTTTGCGCAGCCCATTGTGAGCAGAGCGAAGCCGGAGATGTTGAAGTCCCACTTCATCCCTACTATGGAGAAGCTGAGGAAGCGCACGGCGAAGGTGGTGGCGGAGGAGGAGCACCTGCGCATGGAGGGGAAATCAGAGGGAGACGAGGAGGAAGGGAACCATCAGGGACGAGTTTGCTGTTCTCTGCAGGGATCTGTACGCCCTCTACCCACTGCTCATCCGCTACGTCGACAACAACAGGTACAGTGTCCACTCGCTGGTCGAGTAATCCTACACCACTTTTCCCCCAAGTTTTGGGTCAGTCGGAGTCGACAGTTTGAATCGGGCAGCATGTGAGGGGTGCAGGCTCAGATTTTTGGCTTCCCGATCGTGTTTCAGAGCAGCAGGGGAAGAGCAAGCGTTAGATTTTTCAGTCCAGCTGTGAGTGTAATCTAGTAGTGTATAGACCCAGTCCCATTTCACCCCTCGTCCTTACCACTCAGTCCCACCCCTCTGTTTTGTGCGTTCACGTCTAGGGGTAGGGTGTCCCGATTCTTGTTGAGATAGAGGGGTGGGGCGAAGTGTTTGGGCTACATGACCCTCCAAACAGAGGTTTTTCAGAGACTCCAAACAGAGAATTATGAGAAAAAAAGAAAAACCGGCAAGATGGTGGCACAAGCGACCAAAGAAACACACAAATGTGAGAATTTTCTCTGTTAAAAAATGATGATAATCATTGTATTGTCTTAGTTTAATGTTGTTTCAATGTACAGGGTGTTCCAAAAAAATTGACATAATTTCAGATGTAAATGTCTGAGTTACTACATCACCACAAAATTAAATAAGCATCATGTTGAACAATACAAGATGTATTTATCGAAATTCAGACAAGAAATTCAGAGGATGTAGATTTTATAACCGATTGCACAGCTGCACAAATGTAATATCTTCCTATACTGGTGGTCACCCAGATCCCTTTGCGCTGCACAGACAGCCTTCCTCTCTGAGTTTTTTGTGCCGTGTCCAAATCTGCTTTCCAGTTGGTGCATTTTTATTGAATTTTCTGGAAAATGCCGCTGCACTCTCGTTTAACTGTGTTTGAGCATATTCTAACACACAAAATGCCTTTTCATTTCTATTGAACGCCATTCTTCAACCTGAAAAAACAAACATTAAAAATTAACCTTGGTTAGTTTTTACACATTTTGTTAAAGTTTGAGATCGTTTGAGGGAGAATTGGCTGTTATTAGACTACGAAATGATGTCAATTTTTTGGGACACCCTGTATTATGGTCCTTTTGTTCATAACAAGCATAAAAAATCACTAGTAGTAGCTGATGTTTCTGTAGCTAGCTAGCTAAATTTCCCGTTCCACCTGAAATAGACTGCTTATTCTAGCTCCACTAGCAGCCTGTTAATGAAGTAATGCTCTTTTTTTTGAGAGTTGTTTCATTTTGTAGGGAAGATTTTAACCACTACCCCTTGTAGCTCAGTTCCAAGGGGTAAAGTGACACTCAAAAACAAGGGGAAGGGTTCAAAATAAGAAATGGGATTGGGCCATAGTGTTGGATTACGTCATTAAGAAGACCCCATCTCCATGTTGGTAGGTGAGCCGTAACTCTGACTGTGCTCTGCTAGAGCTCATCTCATCACCGTCACTGCAGATACAGCCCTGCAGGAGGATAAACTCGGAGAGCCAGCTCAGAGAGCTTCCCTGATACAGAGTTCCTCTCACAGATACGTTACCATGCAGGAGGAAAGATCTGAGTTCACACCCAGACTGACTTTAAAGCCTTTAAGAACCATGTATTTTTATTTCTGGTAACTGTTTCAGTTATTATTTTATTATATTTTGTTTGTTTGTTTGTGTTAGGGCGAGTTGGCTGACCTGCCCTGACCCTGATGCTGAGGAGCTTTTCCGCATGGTGGGCGAAGTCTTCATCTTCTGGTCCAAATCTCATGTGAGTCCATGTGATGCTTTATATGGTTCTCTAACTCTGCAGACACATCAGCTTGATCTTATTAAAGCGATAGTTTGGCCAAAAATCAGAAAGGGTGGACAAAATTCTGTCTTCAGGATGGCTTAGACTGCTGTTTTTAGCCACATGATGTGGAGGTGGGATATATGGCAAAAATATTATATCACAATATTTCAAGACATTTTCACAATACACGATATGCATCACGATTTTTAGTTCTTCTGGAATTTAATAAGTTGAAACAGACAAAATAGAACATGCAGCACCACATATGAAAATACTATAATAATAAAAGTAATAAATTGTGCTCAGTTTTTTTGTTTTTAAGTATTGACGATATACACAATGTGCTCAGAAAAGCGTACTGTGATATAATTTATCATGATTACAATAAAATATCATCATAATGCCCAGCCCTAACATGACGTACTTAACAGTGTATCACACTGTTGGAAATGTAAATAAAAATAACAAAAATGATATAATCAAATCTATTAGAGATTCTGTAAGTGTGTGATGATTTAGGTATGCAGTTAGCACTGTGCGAATTGGTGGGATATAAGCTCACATTACTTGTTAGTTACATCAGCCTCGTAGCTCAAGCGCTAAAACTAAAGAAGCAAACTTCAGACACAAACATGCTGTGGCTGATCGACTAAATTTGGAATGAGGAAACTGCCAAACTAACTGAACCCCAGCTGTGATGCGGTTGTAACTTGTTTTCATTCTCTCCGTTCAGAATGAGTGATTTAACAGATAAATAACAACAAACATGATCAATATTATTATACAATTAATCATATTTAGCTCTGTCTTTCAATTTACATTGATTTTGAATCTTATAAACAGCTGATTGTAAACATGCAACTGAATTTGAAATGAAAAATAAAGCCGGTCTTGCTGTGTATCAGAGTTTTAGCGCTCAGCAGGAATCCAAGAGGACAGAAAATCAATAAAAAACATGGTTGTGCTAATAGTTTATTTTTACTGAATATTAAGCAATTGAGTGAATTACCATAAAAATTTTCAGCTCACAGACACTCCAGACTAACGCTTTCTGAAAAGGTATCTGAGGTCACACTTGTTTTCAAGATCTGTATAAGCAAGAATTTACAAAATTTTGAAGGCACTAAGTAAACTTTTGATCAAAAATGAGCCAAATTCATAAAAATATCAAATTCTCTTTCCTGAAGGTCGCTTACAAAATCTTCTGCTTGTCGTGTCTCTTTGCAGAACTTCAAGCGTGAGGAGCAGAATTTCGTGGTGATGAATGAGATAAACAACATGTCCTTCCTCACCGCCGACAGCAAGAGCAAGATGAGCAAGGTGAGATGGGTCGGGTGACCAAGAGAAGTGACCAGGAGCAATAGATCAGCTATAAATCAACTTTATTAAAGGGGAACTCCACCCATTTCTCAAAAGTTCTATATAATTAAATGGTAGAGATGTAATCAGAGAGATTCAGAGTGTTTTGGTGTGAAATGGTTCAGATGTCTTTACAGTGGTGGTGATAGGAACCAGGGGTCGCCATGACTACAACACAGATATAGACATTTTATTTACTATCCAGAACCACCAGTGAACCTACACGAGTCTTCTGAGTTTATATGGAATGTTGATGATGGAAAATAGTGGAAAATCTGAAATAATAAGTTTTCTTTGGGGACTATTTTGCCTCACAGCGCCCTGCATGTATCCCTCCACCATGAATGGAGTTTAAGTTCTCTAAACTATCATAAAACAGTGTCTCAGTCATCAGGCAGTGAATTCATAACCATTTCATGTAGGAACTTTCTGTGAGGGAGCTTTTAGAGGTGGACGTCTGGTTCCTATCACCACCACTGTGAACAGTTCTGACTCGGTAAGGTTCTCTTAAACAGAGCATTTCACACCAAACCACTCTGGATGACTCTGATTACATCGTTATCATTTGATTATGCTGAGAATTTAAAAAAACGGGGGAGCTCTCTTTTAATCCAGGAGCTGTGTGTCTCAGCCCGATCACATTAAGTTATATAAGCTTACAAAATCATAATCATCTCACCACAGTTTATCTGACACAGTAGGTGAATTTTGGTTAAAGTCTAAAGTCCTGGTGAGAAAACGAACCATTCGTTTTGTGTCAGTGTTAGGAACACTACAGGGGTTGGGTCCAATTAGGGTATTTAAGGTTAGGATTAACTGACCTAATTTACCCCCTAACATCAGAGCATGGTGTTGATATACCCTACGAAGTGTTTCTTCACCCTGTTCTTAAATCAAGAGAGATAATTGCGTTAACCCAACAGCCGAACCTCCCATCACTCTTCATCTGATCAGAAGGTAAAGTATGTTAATGTGCAGGTGTGAATGTTATAGAGGGTATGCATTGACATCACTTCTTGCCGAAATACGCTTCCTCGGTCACCCAATCAGAGCGTTTATTAGGGGAAAAGGACAAACCGGGACTAAAACAAGTGATTATCTACTTAATTTAAAGGCAGCTGGACCCGACAGTAGAATAGAAATTCTTGTGGACATCGTGACGTTTAACGTTTCTCTGTTCCACGTAAAACTTTCAAGTCTACAAAGTTACCTGGCCAAACTGTCTAAACCTGCTCTGTGGAGTAACGTTACCCCCTTATAAGGATATATATGGGTTTGTTTTGGGGAGCTAACACTGCTCAACCCCCCGCCCCCCCGTTCGTCGAACACAAGGCTCATAATCATGGATGTTATTAAATAAATGCTGACAAAAACTTTAGTTACACAGGCTGTAAATGAAAATGAAGATGCGAAATATGTATTTGATGAGTAGTAAATACAATATATTACTTTTACAATATGGCAACTGCAAATCTAGCCTCCCATTCGCCAGCTTCTTGTTCGAATTTTCCTCTTCCACCTTAAATAGTGCAGCAGTTACATTCGGGCGCCTGTGTTAGAATTTTCCCGTTCCACCTTAAAAGCCTCAGGCGCCAGACTGTAACTGCCACAGCATTTAAGGTGGAACAGGAAAATTCCAACAAGAAGCCACAGGTGCCAGAATATAATTGCCGCACTGTTTAAGGTGGAACGGGAAAATTCCAGCAAGAAGCCACAGGTGCCAGAATGTAACTGCTGCACCTTTTAAGGTGGAACGAGAAAATTCCTACAAAAAGCTGACTAATAGGAAGCTTAATTCAGCCTTGTGTTGTCTATTTGCTTCTCTTTACTTTAGTCTGTAAAAATATCGCTTTGAATTTTTGCTGTATCTATTTGAACATTCTCTCGCACAACAGCTCTTATTTTAGATGATTTTGTGTTTTCATGGTACTCGCACTGAACGCTAACACTGCCGCTCAGTCAGCCTTTTTGGGCGTGACTGCAGCGACTCCCGCGGCTGTGACGTCACATGCGTACCCTCTATAGTCCTGAGTCCAGCGAGTGACTGGTTCTGAGTGGGTTCTGTGCTGTGAAGACTGTTGCAGGATGTTTTTTGGTTAATGTTTTTTTCTTTCTGGTTGTTCCTTGTCCCTGCGTTCGGCGCGGATGCTGGTGTGTTTCTAGGCCGGAGACTCTGAGGTTAGATTCTGTTCCTGCACGCCTGCTGTGCTGCCGCATGGCACCCCACGTCCTGGGGGGCTTTTCATCAACCCCCCCGGCACACTGGCACCCAGCACTATAGCATCCTGTACACTGACACCCGCCACATTCGGACATGCGTTTGAGACGCAGGAAGAGCTATCGGCCTCCACTTTTAGCTGCATATTCAATTTTGCACGTCTAAGCACCTCTATGGAAAACTATCTACAGACGAGGGGTGGGCGATATGACGATATTTTATTTTTATTTTGAAAAATGTTGATATCGTGATACACAATATGCTTTTATGAGCATATCGTGGAGATCGTCAGTAATTTAAGAGCCCTGACCAGCTGCATAATTCGTACTCTTTAATTGGATTCAGTTAATGATAATCATTGTCTTCATAGTTTTTCATGGCAGTTTTTAAATGTGACCCTTCTAGTGCTGTTTTGTCTGTCAAAATATCATGAAACATATCATATGGTATATCGTAAAAATGGCATATCGCCCACCCCGCTACAGACAAACTGAGCACCCTTAACAAAGTATTGATGTTGTCAAACAAAATACCATAATAAAAGATACACAGCACACATCATAGATGAATATATGAAAATTTGAATATGAATATCTCAATGGAAATTGCTGTTGGCTTCAAAGTAGATGTAGCAAAAGCAGTGATGGAAGAGAAACAGCCACACACACGCAGCACACTTACTTAAAGCGATAGTTTGGCCAAAAAGCCCCCCCCCACCCCAAAAGTAATCAGTCAGCCAAGATGTTTATTTTGCATTTGCTTCAAACCACAGTGCCAACATCAAGAGATATTATCACGTCTGTAAGAGATTGCTTAATAACGCCACATGGTTTGAGGCAAGTGTGTTATAATTTAGGCATACAGTTAGCACCATGTTTATTGGTGGGCTAACAAGCTTCCATTACTTGTTAGCTACATTAGCTTCATTGTAGCTCCAGTGCTAAAACTAAAGTAAACACGACATTTGGAGCGTGGGCTAAACCATTTTTTGGCCAATCGATTGCTTTAACACAGCGCAGGTACAGAATCCTCCTTGCCCCCTGGACAGAAGGGCGCCCCCTGGCTGCGGGCGCCTGCAGTCCTGCCAGTGTGTGCGGGAGGGAGTCTGTGGAGGCGATTGATGAAAGTTTCTGTAGTAGAGTCAGGCTCATGGCCCTCGGCTCCGCACTGATCACCCCGGAGCCCCGAGCCATCACCCTGAACGCCCGCTTGGCCTGAGTGGACCACCGTCCGGATGGGGACCATCACACATGTATTGTTCCAGAAACAGTATCTGTTTCTCTGTGTTGTGGTGAGGGCTGGCGGCAGGGTTGGGGCCAAGGCTGCTTCAGCTGAGCCAGTTCAGGAAATGGACTGAATAGAAATGAATACATTCCAGTAATCACTCCGCTCCAGCTCCGCTCCGGGTTTTCTATTTTTTGCTCACACGTCAGAGAAACCGCTCCACATCCACTCCATATGATCCATTCTTATGATTTTTATTTTACTCCTTGAATGTGCTGTAAATGGTTCTATATAGAAGCTTTTTGAGAAGGGTTCTATATGGCACCGAAACTGGTTTTTCTGTTGTTACAAGCTTGATATTCTAACAATATAAGAACCTATTTGAAGGCTATAAAGAACACTTATCAAAAAGGTCTTGTTAAAAAATCTACAGCACATTCTGACCCTTTCTTGATGCAAAGAACCCCCTTAATCATGCAAAGGGGTCTTTTTCTTTACTAAAGAGCCCTGGAAGAACCATCTTTTTCAGAGTGTAGAGTTAAACATTCTGAGCTACAGAGACTTTTTTGGAAGTGTTAGGCTTGAAGTGATGGCCCAGTCTAGAAATCTGCAGAGGGTAAACAAACATACGAGCTCATAACACCATCTTCTTCACATCACTCCGCTCCCACTCCGCTCCGCTCACACACTCTGGTTAATGCGCCGTTTTAAACTCATAGATAGTATCTTGGTGAATTTTCTGAACTGGCTGAACTGATGAGAAACTGACCCCAGCCTGACTGGTTGGTTGATTTGGTTGGTTTTGTGGATTGCAATACAGCTTCCTTGCCACAAGGGGGTGATTAGGGTCCATTCTGTCATCTCTGTCGTTCTAACAGTGGTCTCACTGGAGTCCCATGGCTTTAAACTCCATGTAACTCTGGAGCCTCTCCCCATCCTCCCCTTTTAACCCATGACCCCTAATGCAATCAAAAACAACTGATTGAGATGGGATTGTGGAAAAAGGGATGTTAGATTAGCAGTTGGCAACTTACAGTTCGTGCCGCACACCAACAAAATAGATAAGTCCTTCTGATTGTGGTCAGACGTCACTGTAACAGTGTTATCTCAGTTTATGGAAAGCAGAGCGCAACGTTACATCAGCATTCCTACAAACAAACACCTTAAAGGAATAAACTGACTGGCCACTTCATTAAGTCCACCTCCTTGTTTCTACACTCACTGTCCACTGTATCAGCTCCACTGACCATATAGTTTCAGTTTGTGTTGGTCATCCTCTAGTCCTTCATCAGTGGTCACAGGACGCTGCCCACAGGACGCTATTGGCTGGATGTTTTTGGTTCTCAGTCCAGCAGCGACACTGAGGTGTTTAAAAACTCAACACACACTAACACACCACCACCACGTCAGTGTCACTGCAGTGCTGAGAATGACCCGCCACCCAAATAGTACCTGCTCTGTGGGGGTCCTGTGGGGGTCCCCTGACCCCTAAAGAACAGGGTAAAAGGGGGCTAACAAAGTATGCAGAGAAACAGATGGACTACAGTCTGTAACTGTAGAACTACAGAGTGAAACTATACGGTCAATGGAGCTGATAAAGTGGACAGTGAGTGTAGATATGAGGAGATGGGCTTAATGAAGTGGCTGGTCAGTGTGTTCACTTTCACCCAAATGTAATTGATCAGCCAAGACATGTTTCTGATCAAAAGTGTGGCCAAAATTTAGGCGACAAGTTGTTGCTGCTACTGTATTTAGCTATGCTAACATACTTAAGTCCATGTTTATAGGTACAGTGAGTCATACAGTGTCAGAAACCACATAATCAAGACTTTTAGAAATGCTGAACATCTCCACATGGTTTGAGATGAGTATGATGATTTAGGCATGATGCTAATTGGTGGAGTATAAGCTTGACTTATTAGCTACATTAGACTTGTAGCTCCAGTGCTACAACTACAGAAACTACCAAACTTCTCAGCTGATCAATTACATTCGGGAAAAGGAGAAAGACGAAGTAAATTAGATTTTTTGTTAGAGTATTACTTTAAATCTTACAGGAATAATGAAAACACATCTTTACAAAGAAAAACAAAATCTTTACATTTATGAACTTATGCTCTTAAAAACTGATGCAGCACCGAGGTGTCATACAGATCAATATCAGAATCAGTATAAAATCACTGCCACATGACTTAGGGCACTGGAGCAGATCTAGCATGGACTTTTGTGTGTTGTTTTAGTGTGATTAGTTCAGCTTGTGAATTGTGTTTGTGCTTGCACTACATTACTGCATACACCTAGACTTGACCTGCAGTCCTAATGCATGAGCAGACCACAGTGAGTGTGCATGTTTCATTCCTGTAATAAAAGCATGTATTTTTCCCTTTTGTAAGGTATTAAAAAATAACTGATCTCTTTCTCCTTGCAGATTAGAAGAGATAAATGAGCTAGATTTTCCTCTTCTGCTTCCCTCTCTCCTGCACTAAGCCTCCTTCTCTTGTCCACCCTGATGACAAGCGATATTAAGTGTTTGCCTCCACCCTCCCATTAATGAGAATTAAAAACACTAAAACGGCTCTGAATTAAAAGCTAAAATGTGGGCTACTCCATGAGTCATGGGAATAAAGGAGGATTCAGCTTGGAGCCACTGCAGCGAAGTGCTAAGTAATTGATTCCAAAGGCACTGTTTGACTGTATTTGAATATGACTAAATTTGTTTTACTCTAATTCTCTAATAAATTAGCAGTCGAAACTGAAAGATTCCACTAAATCCTCCATTTTCTCAAATACCAATATAAGAGTCTTAACGTTAAAAAGAGAGTTATAGTGTGAATTTAACTTGTAATACCAGCTGGGTCCACAAGAGGGCAGTGCTGCTTCTTTTCTAATTGGCAGTATAAATTGCAGCAACAAATTGCCATTTTTAATATGGCTCATTTCAGATATTATGGTGAAGATGAGACCAATTAAACAGTTCAGTAACAGTAACATCTTTTAGTAACATATCTTTTAATATTTCGTGAAATGTTTGAATTGTGGAACTAATTATCACTTCTAATTCAATCAAAAACTGATTGAAAGTGATTAAATTTTTGAATATTATTGAGAGTAACTCTTAATGTGGTTAGTTGAATAATATTAATTAAAATTTTTACACATTTTAAGTTTATAGAAATGTTTAAACGATGCTTTTGGCTTCAGTTTAGTTCAGTTTTTTGTTGCAGTGGCTCCAAAATGTGCAGCTGGCAGTGTTTGAATGAAGAAAACTCCACTAGTAGGACTGAGTGACCTGTTAAGTGGTCAGATTTTGGGAGTCTGAGATGAAGTGGGCGTGGTTTATTCTGCTTTGAGATAGCGAAGGAAGCTGTTTAGACAGATAGCGTCCTCTCCATTCAGTCTGGGAGCAGATTTTGTATGAGTGTGAGATGAAAAGTGTAGTAATCCGTTGAGTTCCTCATGCTGTTTCTCCTGGTGGTGAAAAGCAGCGTTTATAATGATTTTCATGGGGAAAAATGTGCTTTTCGGTTCTGTTTTTCTGTTTTACGTCTGTTGTCATGCTGTATAATCTGGATGTAATCGCAGGCTGGCGGCTCAGATGTGGAACGTACGAAGAAGAAGCGGCGGGGGGATCGTTACTCAGTACAGACGTCCCTGATCGTCGCTGCGCTGAAGAAGATGCTCCCCATAGGACTCAACATGTGTTCACCTGCTGACCAGGAGCTCATTAACCTTGCCAAGATCCGCTACTCCCTGGTAGAGTGACCACACATGCCGAGAGCTTGTTCACTTTATTCTCATCTGTGTTTTATGTTGGTGTTTTGTTTATTGTTGACATTTCAATAAAGAATTAACAGTGTTGGATAATCGTAGGAAATGAATGAGTAGGAATAGTTAAATAAATACAGGCCACAGGCCCCACACTACAATACCATGATACGTGGGTCTCAGTATGGTTCTATTGCAACATTCAAAGCTGCACTATGTAAGTTTTGGGGATTTGTAGACCTCTCTGGTGGTAAAAGTGTAACTGCGTGCAGAACATTTTGATGAATCTGATGAGAGAATTCAAAGAGAACTCAGTCTAAACTTGGTGAAGGAGCGTCTTCTGAGGATGTGAGTGAATTGTCTACTATTGTCATCACATCTTCACCAGTATGATTTTGATTTTGAGATCATTTGAGGCCGAAACATCGAGCTGGACCTTCTTTTTTTAGTTTGTGTGTGACCATATTTTAGCCTGTTTTTACTCTCCTCACTCAGTAACAACACTTCTTCAGTTTTAACAAAAATGTATGTATTTCAGCTTTTAAGATTTTAGATATGCTAGTGCACATTGTTCCTTCAAAAGAAGAAAGAAGTCAAAAATCTAATACAGCTTACTCTTCAATGTTTTAGACAAGAAAGCAGACAAATCATCATTTGAAAAAAAGTTGTCTTTACATTTGCATATTTATATATTTAACAGAAAGATACAGATGAAGAGGTGAGAGAGTTCCTGCAGATCAACCTGCACCTCCAAGGCAAGGTAAAGCAGAAATAAACAGACCGCACAACATTTCCCGACACAGTGTACAGATTTGAATGAGTATTGTGGATGTTATCTTGCGCTCCAGGTTTAGTGCTGCTCTCTCTCTCTCTCAGGTGGAGGACCCCTCTATGCGCTGGCAGATGGCTCTGTATAAGGAGCGGGCGGGGAAGGCCGAGGATGCGGACGCTCCTGAGAAAGTGGTGAAGCGAGTGCAGGAGGTGGCTGCTGTTCTTTATCACATCGAGGTGGTGAGTAGCTTTTTCTAAGCTTTCATGCAGATCTTATAACTTTTCATAGCTATTTTATGACTGTACTTTCTTCGCTCGTTCAGACGGAGCACCCGTTCAAATCCAAAAAGATGGTTTGGCACAAGCTGCTGTCCAAGCAGAGGCGCAGGGCGGTGGTGGCCTGCTTCAGAATGACCCCCCTCTACAACCTGCCCAGGTGAGACTGACTGGAGCTGTTGAAACATGAAGCTTTATGTCGGGGTAGGGTGGACTCGTCCTAATTAGCGCTGTTCTTTCAGGCATCGAGCATCCAACATGTTCCTGGATGCTTATAAACGGAACTGGCTCCAAACTGAGGGATACTCCTTTGAGGACCGGATGATCGATGACTTATCCGTAAGTCATTCCAAAGTTATGAAGGCTAGAAGATAAATATGCACATTGCCCAAAAACGCAGGAGTCTGGTCCAAAGAGTTAAACTGATCGCATCTTTATAAGGTCACATTAGTTGCATTAAATGCGGTGTATCAGCGTGATTGAGATACATTTAAATAATGATAATCGATAATTACGATTAAGCGCTCTAGAGCAGAATATCCTTACTGAACGAATGTCCTTCATCTCGCTTTAATCAAATGTTTCACACAGAAAGCAATGGAGCAGGAAGAGGAGGAAGAGGAGGAGACGGAGACGAAGCCGGACCCTCTTCATCAGCTCATCCTTCACTTCAGCCGCACTGCACTCACAGAGAAGAGGTGAGAGACTTTAGGACTCAGTAAACACTCAGGAATCACATTTACAGTCAGAGCTGGGCGATATGGCAAAAAGTCACAGCTCACGATGCTTCAGGAAGTTTTTTTTACGACACACGATGCGTCACAATATTTATTTTTTCTAACATCTGATAAGTTAGAACAGACAAGGTAGTGCCATATTTTAAAAATACTATACTGAAAATGAGTAGTTCCGGTCCTAAAATCTGATTGGCCTGGCTGCTTTTAAAGCTACTGTAAAGTACTTGATATAGGCACACCAACCGCCTCACAACCACTGAACTCTGTATCACTGAGCTTCGAACATTCCGAGCCGTTTGAGATTCAGCCCCGGCGTTAGAAGAGGGGGGCCGTTAGCTTGGTGCTAAAATAAGACTTGCGGTGGTAATTTGGTGACTAACCGAAAGTTTTATTTAAAGTTAAATGTTCATTGTTATACGACAAAAAGTTAAGACGTTCATGGAATGACTGCAGTACATGGTGATGGGCGACCAAATGTTATGCTCCTCATTCAGAGGTCTATGGTTGCTTGGTAATGATACCAAACTCTACAGGAACTACATTTCTTGGCTTGTTTATGTTACTTATTATTACAAGTAACTTGAAATTATTTTCTGAGAAATTGTGTATTTTATCATATTTTATGCTGTCCGCCCTTTTATAAAAGCAGTAAGCCATGTGAGGTCGTGTTACAGTGATTTAATCACAGGGAAGGGGGTTTTACAGCATTGAGTGGTTTATTGCTTAATCAAAAACTACTACTATTCAACATTTTACACACTGTTGCTTTAAATCCAGTTAAACAGGACTAATTATGCTCTCTTTTTAATGAAATATTTCGTTAATTATTTTCAACCACTGAAGATATCCATGATATGCACAGAAAAGCATATTGTGACACGTTGTGATGTAATTTATTATGATAATGATAAGTTTTGTCATATTGCCCACCTCTACAATACATTACAGTACATTTATAAATGTACAGCATAATTGTATTTACATAAATTAATGTATATCAATAATATTTTTCTTCTTACAGTAAACTTGACATGGACTATCTCTACATGGCTTATGCTGATATTATGGCAAAGGTGTGTGACACTTTTTTTTTCCAAGTTAATAGATTTCGTGTTCTTAATGTAATTCCCACTGTAGCCCAGAAGGGGGAGCCGTAAGTAATTGCTGCAAAATATTTTCATTCAGATACTGAAGGATAATCTTTGAACTTTTCCTCGTTCCAGAGGTTTAACTAAGGTACTTCATCCCGTTTAAAGCAGCACTATGTAGGATTTGAGGATTTGGAGACGTCTCTGGTAGAAACATTACACGCAGCGTGCAGAACATTTAATAACATGAGTTGTGTTTCAGACCCCCGCGAGCGGATGAATCTGACTTGAGTGAGTTTGTTTAAAGAGAATTCAAAGAGAACTCAGTCTATGCTTGGTGAAGGATGCATCTTCTGAGGATGTGAGTGAATTATCTACTGTTGTCATCAGTATGATGCTGATTTTGAGATCATTTGAGGCCAAAACATCGTGTTGGACCTTCTTTTTGAGTCTGTGTGTGACGTTAATATGTAAAGACGTACAACGTGGTGTGAAAAACTCGACGCCTCTGACTTTTAAATGATCATTTCAGGCTTTACAGGGCAACTCACAGCAGCGCACACTCACTATATTGTAGTGTGTTCTTTATTCTCCAAACTCAGTAACGACACTTCTTTCATGAAAAATATTACATAGTGCTGCTTTAACTGATCGTGGAGGGGAAATGAAGTCATGGATAGCCAGTCATCTGTGCTCTGTGTGTGTCTAGAGCTGCCACATCGGTGAGGAAGATGAGGATGAAGAGGAAGACCAGGCTGGAGGAGCAGAGGAGATGTCGTTTGAGGTGCGACAGTCAGAGACGGTAATGTTGGCCGGGGGCAGGGGACAGGGACACCAGAGCGGTACAGAGGCCAGAGACTTCATCATCATCATCTTCATCATCATCTTCAACACCACTACACTCATTCTTCACCACACATCCCACATTGGAGTTAAATTAACACCTGCAATTAAAACGGAGTATTTTTCTGCACTGCGTATGCACACCAGGCTTCAGTGGAAGGCTTTAGTTTATGAACGTTACCCCGATTCTCTGGTAGCCTGAGTGAGATATCTGTTCAGTCTTAGTGAGCACACCTGCTGAGAACCCTCATTACGCCATCAGAGAACCGCGGCCACGTTCGTAACCTTGAGTTCTCTTTCAAGCAGCTGTTTCTCTTTATGAAATGGGGTGATCTGCAGGTTGACAGATAAGCTTATCTTCAATAGCGTGGCAGACTATGTGCCAGTGTTAATGTAGTGACATCAAGTTAATACCTCACAACCAGTGTTGGGTAGTAATGGAATACATGTAACAGCGTTATGTAATCAGGATACAAAAAAATAAACGTAACTGTAATCTGTTGCAGTTGCACTATATGGACAAAAGTACTGGGACATCTACAGGAGCTTTTATGAATCCCATTCTAAATCCATAGGCATTAATATGGAGCTGGTCCCCCTTTGCAGCTCTAACAGCTTCCACTCTTCAGGGAAGCTTCCTACAAGATGTTGGAGAGAGTCTGTGGGAATTTTGGCCCATTCGTTCAGAAGAGCATTTGTGAGGTCAGACACTGATGTTGGATGAGAGAGCCTGGATCTCAATCTCCGTTCTAGGGGCTCAGTCATGATGGAACAGAAAAGGTTCTTCCCCAAACTGTTCCCACAAAGTTGGAAGTGTACAGTTGTCCAAAATGTCTTGCTCTGCTGAAGCATTAAGATCTCCCTTCACTGGAACTAAGGGTTCTAGACCAACCCCTGAAAAACAGCCCCATATCATCATCCCTCCTCCACCAAACTCTACAGCTGGCACAGTGCAGTCAGGCAGGTAACGTTCTCCTGGCATTCGCCAAACCCAGACTCGTCCATCAGACTGACAGATAGAGAAGCGTAATTGGTCACTCCACAGAATACGTTTCCACTGCTCCAGAGTCCAGTGGTGGCGCTTTACATCACTCCATCCAACGCTTGGCATTGTGCTTGGTGATTGTAAGGTTTGCATGCAGCTGCTCAGACATGGAAACCCTGCCATGAAGCTCCTGGTGCTCAGTTTTTGTGCTGATGTTGATGCCAGAGGAGGTTTGAACAGAGGGTTGGGGACCTTTATGCTCTATGCTCCTCAGCACTCGGTGACCTGCTCTGTAACTTTCCGTGGTCTGACACTTCGTGGCTGAGTTGCTGTGTTTCTTAAATGCTTCCACTTCTCAATAATACACTCACAGCTGATCGTGGAAAATCTAGGAGGGGAAGAAATTTAATGAACTGACTTCTTGTAACGGTGGCATCCTATTACAGCACCACGCCGAATTCAGTGAGCTCTTTAGAGCGACTCGTTCTTTCAGGGGTGCGTTCCGTAATGAAGCACTGAAACAGACGCTTGAAAGAGAAGTGCAGGTGTTACTTTAACACTGATGATGTTGCTGTGTGTAGTGTGGATTTAACCAGGTGCGTGTGATGCTGTGTAGTTTGTGTGTTTGATACACTGTTAGTAATAAAGGTTCTGTTCAGGTTCATTTATCCTTCATCATGGTACAAACAGTGTAAATGTTCCCTCAAAGCTCCAACAGTGGTTTTAAGGTCTGATTGTGAACCTTAAATAAGTTTTTCCAGGTGAAAAGTTCGTATTTGTACCTTTTCATAACCGAATGTTTTAAACAGAACAGTAAAATAAAAGCCTGGAGACGAGACGGGGTGTGTGGAGTCAGTACAGCTTAGTTATCCCTGACTAAAGGTACTGAGAGGTACCTATGAGGGTTCCACCCCAGTGACAAGAGGGGAACCACCCCAGTGACAGTTTAGTACCTTTATTTCTGAGAGTGTATTGATAAGCTCTCACCAGCTGCTGAGCCCATTTGTGTTCACTCAGAGCGGGCTGATTCCAGAGATGAGCTCGGCGGTGTAGGAACCGGAAGTATTTGATCTGCTGTGTTTTAAACATTTCTGTCAAACCTCATATGTCATCTCTGCCGTTCTGTAGATTTAGTGTTAAACATACATGCTCAGTTATGCGATGATATTAAGGTTTCCACAAATAATAATTATGGGTTTCATTTATACAGGGCTTTTCTCATAGCAAAGGTCGCTTTACATTAGTGGCAAAAACGAAACAAAGACGTTTAAAAAACAAAAACATAGACAGTATCAGTGGGAGTGAGAAGGAGAGTGGACACGTTGAAATTTAATAAGTTTAAATAATGTAAACTGGCTGATGTACAGTGTAAATATGATGTGAGCTGTATGGCTGGGCTGCCATGTGAGGTTGCCTTGCTGTGTGTTTGTTCTGTCTCTCTGTAATCTGACGTTAATGGCACTGTAAACCGTCTGTCCTCCTGTTCTGTCTGTCCTCTCAGTTACACACTGAGTTACTCTTCTTAAAGTCAACCTGAAATCAGAACTTTTTTATAGAGAAATCGAAATTTTCAGTTTCAAGCGTGACAACAGCATGAGAACCGACAGTCCTCTCAGTCAGTAAATCTCTGTTTAACTAAAACTACATACAGTGTAACTAAAAGAATAACATTAAAATCTAAAATCTGAATGTAAAATTGTCCGAAATTATCATAATCTGAATTTGAGATCTGAATTTAATCTGAATCAGACTGATATATTAATCGACCGATAATATTAGCCATTATTGATGCCTCACGGTTTAGTATCTGTGAAAATATCAATAATTCACATTTTCTCCATTATGGCATTGTGGTTCTTTAGTAAAGGCAATGGTTCTATTTAGAACCAAGAGTCCAACACTCTTAAAAAGATGGTTCCTCAAGAGTTGTTTAGTAAAGAAAATGGCTCTATATAGAACACTCAAAGAACCTTTTGCATGATCAAGTGGCATTGTGAAAAAGTTCTTCAGATTAATGGAGAATGTGCTTTAGATGGTTCTATATAGAACCTTTTTGAAATGGCATTTATATATCACAAAACAAGGGCTCTGCTATTGTTGCAGTGTCAAACTTGTAACTATAGAAGAACCTATATAGAATCCTTTTCAAAAGTTCTGTATGGAACCAAATACAACACATTCTCCATCAGTGAAGAACCCTTTCATGATGCAAAGAACACTTTGATCATGCAAAGCGTTCATCATATTGATAGAGAATGCATTGTGTATGGTTCTGTATAGAACCTTTCTGAAAAGAAAAGCACAAAAAAGGCTTCTGCTATTGTTACAATGTTAAGCTTGTAACCATAGAAGAACCAATATAGAACCCTTTTCAAAAGTTCTAAACAGAACCATATCTCTTTTAAATGTGTGTATAAAGCCATTAAAGGCTTAAAGCGTTGTTTGCATGGTGAAATGGTTCTTTAGATTGATGGAGAATGTATTGTATGTGGTTCTATATAGCACTAAAAAGTGTTCTTCTGTTGTTATGATGTCAAGCGTGTGACCCTTTTTGGTGCTATAGGGGATTCTCCATCAATCTGAAGAAAGCATGAAATGTTCTATATAGAACTCATGGTTATAGAACCCTTGAAGATCTTTTTTAAGAGTATTCAGATTCAGTCTCTGTATGAAAATCCAGAATTTTGGTGGTGTTATCAGTTGGTACTGTTTGTAACAGACTTACAGACAATAACACAAACACCATCACAGAGGAAATAACAAAAACAACATGTGAAGTAACAGTGAAATGTATCTGAACCTAAACTTTATTCTGAAAATAACACAAACATTTTTTAAAAAAAAATGAACAGGTGACTAAATAAAGCCACAAAAAATCTGTGTAGCCCTGCCCCCAATATTACAATATGAATATTACAATATTTATGTTATTTAACACTGTCAGTTTCAGCTGTTTCTTTGAGTTTGAGACATGTGACAACAGCGTGAGACCTGACAGTCCTATCAATCAGTAAAACACTGTTTAACTAAAACTGCATACAGTGTAGCTAAAAGGATAGCATGAAAATCTAAAATCTGAGTGTAAAATTGTCCGAAATGATCATAATCTGAATTTTAGCCCCTTAAAATCTTGATATATATTCTATATTGATATTGGTAAAAAAAAATATCCTGTAGGTCAAAGTCAACTTTTGTTAGTTATATATAGTTTGTTAGTTATGTATATCAGTTATGTAAGTTATTCAGCAGTGTTTAATACAGAAATCCTCACTTTGTAAGTAATTACCACCAGTAAGATAACACTGATTTCCACTAGCACCTCTACAGGGTTTACAGTGTTTTGTTAGTGCCAAGCTAACAGCAGTGATTAATACCATACACTTTAGTAAAGAAAATGGTTCTATGTAGAAATATGAACACTCAAAAGTCCCTTTGCATGATTGAAGGATACTTAGCAGGGTTCTTCAGATTGATGCTGTAGAGGGTTCTGTATCGAAGCTTTTTGAAAATGATTCTATATACAGCCAAAAAGGGTTCTTTCTTTGTTTGAATGACAAGCTTGTAACAATAGAAGAACCCTTTTTGGTGCTATACAGAACCATATACAACACATTCTACTTCAGTGTGAAGAACCATTTCACAATGCCAAGAACCCTTCAGTCATGCAGAGGGTTCTCTGAGTTTTCTTTACTAAACAATCCTTGAAGAACCTTTTAAGCGCAACTAGGATTCTTTAGTAAAGAAAAGGCCTTTGAAGCTGGTAAGAGCTGCTTGTGACATTCTTTATTTCTTTATTTTATTTCTTTATTTTTTATTCTTTATTTTGCAGTTTTTCAGTCACCTTTTAGTTTATATTTTAACCTAAATCTGGACTTTATTATTGTAGGAGCCTGTTAGCTGTCTGCTGAATTCATATCTGTTTTAAAATGCACAATCCAATCAGATCCCGAGGGATGAAAGATCCCGCTCTTATATAATTTTTAATGAACAGTGTATGTACATAATAATAATAATAATAATAATAATAGTTCTTTGATGGAAGGATCTGTTTCATGTTGACTTTATGTTTCATGTTGACTCTTTCAGACTGAGCCTGAATGCTGCCCTCTAGTGTTTCCTGGCTGTACTAATCTACTGACACACAGACTACAGTCAAAGCCACACACACACACTCACACACTCACACACACACACCTATAGGTAAAGTACCTGCACACACACTGAGCTGAACAGACCACAGAGCTACCTGGTAAGACAGAAAACAAACTGCGCACTTCATGCACCACATATTCACACAGCACCCATCGGGGAGAGGGGTAGTAGGCCAGGCACATGGGGGTGGGGGGGCTTTGGTTTGGGGAGGTGGGGGGTGACTATGATTGTACAGTTTATGTAAAAAATCTTGTTTATTAAAAAGCAGCTCTCCTGGAGTTTTTAAATACTGTCCACTCACTGTCCACTCTGTTAGACACTCCTACCTTGTCAGTCCACCTTGTAGATGTAAAGTCAGAGACGATAGCTCATCTGCTGCTGCACAGTTTGTGTTGGTCATCCTCTAGTCTTTCATCAGTGGTCACAGGACGCTGCCCACAGGACGCTGTTGGCTGGATGTTTCTGGTTCCCAGTCCAGCAGTGACACTGAGGGGTTTAAAAACTCCAGCAGCACTGCTGTGTCTGATCCACTCGCACCAGCGCAACACACACTAACACACCACCACGTCAGTGTTACTGTAGGGCTGAGAATGACCCACCACCCAAACAGTACCTGCTCTATGGGGGTCCTGACCACTGAAGAACAGGGTAACAAAGTATGCAGAGAAACAGATGGACTACAGTCTGTAACTGTAGAACTACAGAGTGAAACTATACGGTCAGTGGAGCTGATAAAGTGGGCAGTGAAGTGGACTTAATGAAGCGGCTGATTTGTGTATTTTTATGTCCTCTTGAGATCATGCCTTTCTATATGTGACCAAATAAATAATATTTTTATTTATTACAATTAATGATATTTTTGTGATTTTAGCCACATGTGCTATGTAAAATAAAGCACTCGCAGTATAATAATGCAACATCTGGCCAGCCTGTTTCATAGTGCATACAGTACATGCAGTGGGTATGTATGTATGTATTTATGTGTGTATTATAGAGACAGTGAAATAAGTGCAGCCTTGTCCAGACGTCCTGTCCAGGTGCTGCTGTTTCATTGGCTGCTTACTGTAGTCCAGCGTTTGTTACAGACAAACGTGTAGATGTAGTATAACAAACTCCACAACTAATCAGTCTGAGTGGGGTGAGAGAGTGACGTAAACACCCAAATAAAGACACAACACCTCACTAATCCAGATGGAGTGGAGCAAGATCAGTTTACACTGAAAAAAGTAAAAACAGTGCTTTGAATTTATGTGATTTGATTATGATGAAAATATGTCAACGCCACACGCAGACTGAAAGACAAAAATGTCTTGATGTAGTATATTAAAATGCAAATCAGAATCTTTGTCCACTGAGTACCTGGTGTGTAAGGATTTTTCTTGGTGCAGGTGTCAACATAAAATAAAATCCAATAAAATAAAATAAATATAGAATAAGATATACTATATTTAAACATTCAATAGACAGTATACAAGCAAACAGCGGGTAAAAGGATGTGGGAGAAGGTACAGATTGATGGAGAATGTGCTGCAGTTGGTTTTATATAGAACCTTTTTGAAAATGGTTCTCAAAAAGGTTCTGTATAGAACCATCTGTAGCACATTCATGCACATCTTTGAGTGTTCATGGTTTTATATAGAACCATTTTCTTTACTTAAGAACAGTTGAATTAGAATCAGATTTTTTAAGAGAGTAGGGTACTGTTCATAAGGCTACATGACACCTACATGACATAACCCTACACTGTGTATAAATGCTTATTCCAATAGGCGTCATTTGCTATAACAGTTACATTTGCCAATTTTGATCAAGGTTAGCTAAAGTAGCCTTTATGACAGATGACACCTGTTCCAAAAAGCATTTATTAACATTTGCATAGGTTATGTCAGTGGTCATGGCGAGCTTACGTAGGCTTCATTTTGCCTTATGAACAGTACCGTACAGTAAAGTGCTACCAAAATAGGTCATTAAATTAGCTATGTTTTTGTTTTGTTTTGTTTGCAGCCACCTAAAGTTCCCCAAAGCTGACCCAATGAGATGAAACAATGCCACAAATATCTCAGAAAAACATATTTAAGGCTACTATTTATACTAACAGTTTAAATGTGGTAGAGGATTAAATCTCTTTGTTACATTTTTTTTCGTACACAGGCATAAACAAAGGTGTTTGGCACACCTCACCTCACAAAAAATACAGAAAAAGACCTTTTTAAAAGATCAAGAAATCGTTGAAAGCTGGTGTTTAAGGTTAATGACAGTGTAATATGTTAAATTAAACGCAGGTGCTAGTAGTGATGTTCATATTTCATCATAATGCTTCCTCTCATTTTCACCACCTTCTAGTGTGTTTTTGAAGGGTTGCTTAATTCCATGAGATTTTTTCACTAGTTCTATTGTATTGTGATAATGTAACTCATAACATGAAATGAAACAGTCCAAATTCATTTTAGATTATATTATGAAAATAGTTGCTGTTGTGGAGATACAAGGTTTTGTTCGGACATTGACGGTATATTTGAATCAAATATATTCAGTGCACTGTTTTTCACTGTAGACTTGTGAAGTGTAGTTTCAGGGAAGGGATAGAAAGCACAGAATAAATCTAACAGCCGAATTATCCAGAAACCCAGTGAAAGGCTAAACAGTATAAAGCAGACTATGTTACTGTAGACTGATGAATCCAGGTGCAGAGAGCTGAAGCAGAGATGTGTGTGTTTAGTATGAAATGTCTGACAGTGTGTTTTCTGTGTAGGAGAAAGAGATGGAGAAACAGAGGCTCCTGTATCAGCAGTCTCGCCTCCACAACCGCGGAGCAGCAGAAATGGTCCTGCAAATGATCAGCGCCTGCAAAGGTGTGACCACAACACAAACCAAGCATGATGAGGTTGCTGTAGAAATTGATTACGGGAAAGAAAAGCTCTATAATGTTGATATGATCCACACAGTCACTCTGACAGACTGTAATACACTACAGGAAGTGTAGGGGGCGATATGGCTTCTACTGTTTCATTTAAAAAGCTCTATAATGTTCATATGATCCACACAGTCATTCTGACAGACTGTAATACACTACAGGAAGTGTAGGGGGCGATATGGCTTCTACTGTTTCATTTAAAAGGCTTTATAATGTTCATATGATCCACACAGTCACTCTGACAGACTGTAATACACTACAGGAAGTGTAGGGGGCGATATGGCTTCTACTGTTTCATTTAAAAAGCTCTATAATGTTGATATGATCCACACAGTCACTCTGACAGACTGTAATACACTACAGGAAGTGTAGTGGGCGATATGGCTTCTACTGTTTCATTTAAAAGGCTTTATAATGTTCATATGATCCACACAGTCACTCTGACAGACTGTAATACACTACAGGAAGTGTAGGGGGCGATATGGCTTCTACTGTTTCATTTAAAAAGCTCTATAATGTTGATATGATCCACACAGTCATTCTGACAGACTGTAATACACTACAGGAAGTGTAGGGGGCGATATGGCTTCTACTGTTTCATTTAAAAGGCTTTATAATGTTCATATGATCCACACAGTCACTCTGACAGACTGTAATACACTACAGGAAGTGTAGGGGGCGATATGGCTTCTACTGTTTCATTTAAAAGGCTTTATAATGTTCATATGATCCACACAGTCATTCTGACAGACTGTAATACACTACAGGAAGTGTAGGGGGCGATATGGCTTCTACTGTTTCGTTTAAAAAGTGCTCTATAATGTTCATATGATCCACACAGTCACTCTGACAGACTGTAATACACTACAGGAAGTGTAGGGGGCGATATGGCTTCTACTGTTTCATTTAAAAAGCTCTATAATGTTGATATGATCCACACAGTCATTCTGACAGACTGTAATACACTACAGGAAGTGTAGGGGGCGATATGGCTTCTACTGTTTCGTTTAAAAAGTGCTCTATAATGTTCATATGATCCACACAGTCACTCTGACAGACTGTAATACACTACAGGAAGTGTAGGGGGCGATATGGCTTCTACTGTTTCATTTAAAAGGCTTTATAATGTTCATATGATCCACACAGTCACTCTGACAGACTGTAATACACTACAGGAAGTGTAGGGGGCGATATGGCTTCTACTGTTTCATTTAAAAAGCTTTATAATGTTCATGTGATTTTCTGAATTTACACTGAATCAGTTCAAGTGAACTAATAACAAAGAAAAGCCACAAAGCTTTTGTTTCTCGTTTTCCAGGTGAGACAGGCTGCATGGTGTCTTCCACCCTTAAGCTGGGCATCTCCATCCTGAACGGAGGGAACAGTGAAGTCCAGCAGGTCGGTACAGCACTTCCTGTCCAAGTGAAATGAAATTGGCATAAACCGCATGCAGGTATGATTTATATTATTTCATCTGCACTCCTGTAGAAAATGCTGGACTACCTGAAGGACAAAAAGGACGTTGGTTTCTTCCTGAGTGTACAGACACTGATGCAGACCTGCAGGTACGATGCTGTCCAATTTACCATCCACTTTATACCTTTTATGAGCAGCCACTTTATTAGAAACACCCACCTTGTGCTTCCACTTACTGACCACTTTATTAGAAACACCCACCTTGTGCTTCCACTCACTGGCCACTTTATTAGAAACACCCACCTTGTGCTTCCACTCACTGGCCACTTTATTAGAAACACCCACCTTGTGCTTCCACTTACTGACCACTTTATTAGAAACACCCACCTTGTGCTTCCACTCACTGGCCGCTTCATTAGAAACACCCACCTTGTGCTTCCACTAACTGACCACTTTATTAGAAACACCCACCTTGTGCTTCCACTCACTGGCCACTTTATTAGAAACATCCACCTTGTGCTTCCACTAACTGACCACTTTATTAGAAACACCCACCTTGTGCTTCCACTCACTGGCCACTTTATTAGAAACATCCACCTTGTGCTTCCACTAACTGACCACTTTATTAGAAACACCCACCTTGTGCTTCCACTCACTGGCCACTTTATTAGAAACACCCACCTTGTGCTTCCACTAACTGACCACTTTATTAGAAACACCCACCTTGTGCTTCCACTCACTGGCCACTTTATTAGAAACACCCACCTTGTGCTTCCACTCACTGGCCACTTTATTAGAAACACCCACCTTGTGCTTCCACTAACTGACCACTTTATTAGAAACACCCACCTTGTGCTTCCACTAACTGACCACTTTATTAGAAACACCCACCTTGTGCTTCCACTAACTGACCACTTTATTAGAAACACCCACCTTGTGCTTCCACTCACTGGCCACTTTATTAGAAACACCCACCTTGTGCCTCCACTAACTGGGCTACAGGAGTGGTGTTTCTGATAAAGTGGCCGGGGAGTGTTTGTTATGTATGTAATAAACTGCTGTGATTAAACAGTGAAGCAAGGTTTGGCTGATGTTTGCTGTTAGATCAGCAGGTAAAGTGTGTTGTTTTGCAGTGTTTTGGACCTGAATGCGTTTGAGAGGCAGAATAAAGCTGAAGGTTTGGGAATGGTGTCTGAGGAGGGCACAAGTAAGTCAGACATTTCATCTTATTACAGTTACACCACACAGAGCAGACTCTGATCTCTGCACAGGTACAACAAATGGACCCTTTGAAGTCTAGTTACTTCTGTCGTCTGCTATTCTACTTAATTATTTGTATTTAAATAAATGATTAATTATATATATACTGTATATCATTAGTTACATAATAAAATCTATTTATATTCTATGTACATCCTCTTCTGCACTTTCTGCTTGTTTCAGTGAGCAGTGATTAATCTAAAGAGCGACTCCTACAGGTTAAAACGCTTTTGAAGAATCTTCCTTTTGAGTTAATAAGAAAAAAAACTGCTGTAAATGTTTGAAACGATGCTCAGGACTCTGTGTACATTCGTCTGATTTAAACTTGCTGGCAGACGGATCTGGTTCTGGTTCTGGACAAGTTGTCCATCCTCCACATGATCAGATATCCAGCATGCAGTCCGGTCCACCTAATGAGCTCATCATTTACGATCATTATAATAAAGCCATCCTGTACGTGAGTTGAATGAACTTCTGATATTGACTGTGCAGTCAAGGGCCGACCGATATATCAGTCAGCTGATAAAATCAGATTTCGATTTATCAGTACAGGCGATAACATTGCAGATATGCATATAAAAAAATATTGTAACACTAACATTAAATTTATTATAATTGCTGTCCAGACTGAACAGATACATTACTCAACTTATAAAGTATTGTTTAATTTTTGACTGTATAAAATTATCAGCTGTTGTTATCAGATTAGCTTCTTAAAGGGCCCATATCCTACATCTCACTTTTATTTGATTTACTTTCCTTGAGGTAGACCGTTTATATGTAAACTGCTGTAGGCTGAATGGGAGGAGCTAAACTGCTGTAGGCTGAATAGGCGGGGCTTAACTGCTGTAGGCTGAATGGGTGGGGCTAAACTGCTGTAGACTGAGTGGGTGGGGCTAAACTACTGTATGCTGAATGGGCAGGGCTAAACTGTGATAGGCTGGATGGCTGGAGCTAAACTGCTGTAGGCTGAGTGGGTGGGGCTAAACTGCTGTGTGCTGAATGGGTGGGGCTAAACTGCTGTATGCTGTATGGGCGGGGCTAAACTGCTGTGTGGCTGTATAGTCGTATACAGATAAATACTTTGTAACATCACAAAAACTTTGAATTCAGAATGGGCAGTGTTTGAAGTTTGGTTACATCAACAGTATGGTCTGAGATATGTTTTGGAACTTGAAACAATGTTTCTGTTCTATATCAAACACGTTTATTTAAAAAAAAGAAGTGCGGTTTTCCGTGGTATGGGCCCTTTAAAACGTGTATCAGTATCAGTGATGGTGAGCGTATCGGTCAGGCTCTTGTGATAATTCAGTATTTTACTCCCAGTCATCTACTGCACTCACCTTCACCTTCCCTCTCTCCATCACCATACTCCCTCCCTCTCTCTCTCCCCCTCTCTCTCCCTCCTTACTTGGGCCTCAGACATGAAGCTAGAGCGGGGTAAATAATGCCTCTGTCCCTTTTATATCCTTTTCTCTCTCCTCTCTCTCTGTCCTCTCTCTGTCCCTCATTCTTCTCCTCTTTGTTTTGGATCTTAACACGTCACTCAAGGAAAACAACTTCCACAAGTTTTACGGATGAAGATCACAGTTTAAAGTCACAGCATGCACTGAGTGTTCAGTTCATTGTGTCCAGATACCTTATATCTACATTCAGTGGCCATTTTATCAGAAACACCTACTTTATAGGTGTTAGGTTTACAGTTACAGACAGTAGCCCATCTCTTTATCAGTCACCATGTCAGTCCACAAGTTTGGTTGGGTTTCCGTTCAAATGTTTCGCAAATATTTTGCACATTTATTAAATTTTGAGAGGAAAAATGTGAATTAAGTTGTGTTTCCGTCCGCTATAGTTCTGTGAAGAAACTTCTGTGATCAGGGGCTGCATCAAAATAAGCAAGCTGGAGAGATTTAGATCAACATTATTTAACAGTTTTGGCTAACAACAACAGCTTCAAATCATGTTGATGCTACACTGACTTATAACAGTGAGAACGGTGTATCTGCTGTTGCCGCTCTGGGCTGGGACACCTGCTGTAGCACTATGTAACTTTGGAGGAGCAGCACAAGAACCTCTCATCAGAACTACATAACGCTTTACGGCACTACGTCACACACCAACAGCTCAGCAGCTATAAGAAGAAGCAGCTTGGTATTCCTAGGATGGACATCATAGCAGAGGCTGCAAAGAAGAGGCTGTTGGAGGAAGAGAGTAAGAGAAAAAGAGAGACAGAGACCGAGTGAGAGACCAGACAAGAGTAAATGACTGGCTTTGACTCGCTGGCGAGCGCTAATAGAGATGTAAGGATGCAGGACACACTCACGGCTAATGGGACAACGGCGAAACTCCGACAGCAGAGTGTTCACCCTGACAGTGTTGTTTTCACGGTGTGAAAGTGAAATACATCTAGCAACTGTAGGGGGGGCCCAAGAGCAAAAATACCAATTCTCACATAATAAAGCGTTGCGTTAGTTTTAAATAAAGTCATCTTTACAGCCGTTTGCCGTCTTTTTATGGCTGTGTTGTTTGCAGCTCAGAGATGCCAGGCAGGACGAATAGTAACCACCTAATGAGGGCTGAAATCTCTGTGCCAAACCTGTTGCAAATCTTGGTACATTTGTTGTTGTTTTCCATCCAGTATTGCATTTATGTTGCTTTTTTGGGTAATTAAAGTCTCCTCAACAGTCCAACAGACTGCGCTGGACAATCATGTTTTTGGTCTGGTCAGGTGGAGCGGAATCATGTGACTTACAGCTTAAAACATCATTGTTTATTCAAAAAATTATTTCCATCACTCTTTTGTGTGTTTCGGCTTCAGTGATATTCTAACTTTTCCACCTCATCCTAGCATGAAAACTCCTTTTACAATATATATATATTTTTCCAAATTTTCATTATTTTCATATTTTCGAACTCTATTCAGTTTTTTTGCACACTTTCAAAATTTGTGGATGGAAAACACCCTAGTGTCTTCGCTGTGCTGAGAATGGTCCACCACACAAGTCATATCTGGTCAGCAGTGGTCCTGTGGTGGTCTATTTCCATTGCTGAACAGGGCAGAGGGGGGCTGATGAAGTGTGTGCAATCAGATGGGCAATAGTCTGAAATTGTACCTCTGCATACTTTCTACAATTTCCAGTCAAAACTGCCATTAAGTAGAAGTTCTTCATTCTTCAGGAGATGCTTCTGAGCAGGTTACAAATAATAACAAAAATCCACTAGAATAGGGAAGGAGAACATCAAAGTGAAAGGAACAGGAACTTGAGTTCAAAAAGTGATAAACAGCTCCAGAGAAAATGAGGCTCCTAACAACCACCTGGAAGACCTGGTCGACCCCAAAACTGCCCCCATCAGATAAACAGCACTTAAAGCTTTCATCTCTGAGAGAGAGGAGAAAATCAAGCTGATCAGATCTGAAAACATCCACAGGTGTTTCTGTCCATCCTTCCACTGTGAGAAGACGACTCAGCGCTGTGGGTCTGAAAGGATGTGTAGCTGTCAAGAAGAACCTCACTGAGAAAAGGAGACGGACACATCAAACAAAGAAGCTGACCAATGGACTGACCACCCCAGAGTCCAGACCTCAACACCACTGAATGAGTTTGATTACTTCAGAAAATCATCAACCAGCTTCTAAGACTGAACTTTGGAGGTGTGTCTGCAGATTCTTTGAGGAACTGAAAGTGAGCCTCCTGAAAAGAATGGAAGCTGGAATAAAGGTGAAGAAAAAAGGAACTTTAGACCTTTAGAAACTTTAGAAAGAACCTTGTACTTAAAAGGGAAACTCCACCAAAGTTTGTGCATAATTCATCAGTTGAGATGTAATCAGAGCGGTTCAGAGTGGTTTGGTGTGAAATGCTCTGTTCTAGATAAACTGACCGAGTCAGAACTGTTCACAGTGGTGGTGATAGGAACCAGACGTCCACCTCTAAAAGCTCCCTCACAGAAAGTTCCTACATGAAATGGTTATGAATTCACTGCCTGATGACTGAGACACTGTTTTATGATAGTTTAGAGAACTTAAACTCCATTCATGGTGGAGGGATACATGCAGGGCGCTGTGAGGCAAAATAGTCCCCAAAGAAAACTTATTATTTCAGATTTTCCACTATTTTCCATCATCAACATTCCATATAAACTCAGAAGACTCGTGTAGGTTCACTGGTGGTTCTGGATAGTAAATAAAATATCTATATTTGTGTTGTAGTCATGGCGACCCCTGGTTCCCATTACCACCACTGTAAAGAAATGTAAGTTTCTCTGCAGATGAACCATTTTACACCAAACTAATCTGAATCTGTTTATAATCTGTTTATATCTCAGCCACTGAATTATACAGAATATTTGAAAATTTGGTCGAATTCACCTTTAAGGGCTGTTTTAAATGGAAATTATACAAATGAATGGCTTTGATTTTTTCACCTTATTTTATGCTGTAGGTGGGTTTCTGATAAAATGGCCAGTGAGTGTAGATTACAATAATCTGGACACTCAGTGTGTGTTTACACGCATACAGAATGTGGTTGAATAGCGGTTATTGACCTTGAGTGCCTCGTCGGTCTGCTGTAACTCCACAACTCTGACGTGTGCATTATAATCTCAACCCAGTACACGGCCCCACCATCCCATCACACTGAAGGCCATTAGCTTTTACATCTGTTGCCTCTTTGCAAATACATGTATTACTTTATTTATTTGTCATAGTAAGTTTTGTACAACAGTCTCAGCTTTCGCTGCTTCTCTGGAGTCGTCCTTAAAACGGCGAAGAACCTGAAGGAACCTGTGTGCTCAGTTTGGGTGCATTACCTGAGTGAGGTCTACACGCCGTCAGCGGAGAAGTTTTTACACTCGTTCATAATGAAAAGTGTGGCTGAAGTCCTTTGATTGATCACCACCCTCTGTCAATATTTGACATTTTTCATGTTTTGAACTACAAAACAATCCGTTTGTGTATTTCTGTGATCTACATGTTGCTAAGATTAAGTACTAATTTATTACAGATCCTCAGACCCTCCTGGATCATTTTCATTTCACCTCTAATCCAGGTCAACCCACCCCGTAATCCACGCCCGTTATCAGACCCGCCCATGATCAGACCCACCTGTTACCAAAAAGACCTGTTATCAGACCCACCTGTTAACAAAAAGACCTGTTATCAGACCCACCTGTTACCAAACCCACCTGTTATCAGACCCGCCCGTGATCAGACCCACCTGTTATCAGACTCACCTGATAACAAACCCACCTGTTATCAAAACCGCCTGTTATCAAACCCACCTGTTATCAGACCCACCCATCATCAAACCCACCTGTTATCAGACCCACCCGTCATCAAACACACCTGTTATCTGGCGCTGTTATCAGACCCACCTGTTATCAGACTCACCTGATAACAAACCCACCTGTTATCAAAACCGCCTGTTATCAAACCCACCTGTTATCAGACCCACCCATCATCAAACCCACCTGTTATCAGACCCACCCGTCATCAAACACACCTGTTATCTGGCGCTGTTATCAGACCCACCTGTTATCAGACCCACCCATCATCAGACCGACCTGTCATCAGACCCACCTGATATCAAACCCATGTTTCCAAACCCACCCATTATCAGACCCACCTCTTATAAAACCCACCTGTTATCAGACCCACCTATTATCAGACCCTCTAGTTATCTAACCCTCCTGTTTTTAGACCCACCTGTTATCAGGACTGTGCAGTTGATCCTGCTGGACTGACACACACCTGAGTTCAGGAGTTCAGTAGTTCTGCATGCTGAAGTGTGTGAAGTCCTTTTCCACACAGAGGAGATAAAATCACCATTTCTTCTCTGGCTCTGTTTCTAAAGGCAGTATGTCAAATTTATGATTTAGTATTTTGAAATAATTTATTTTCTCAAAGTTTTGGCCTACGATATTGAAATAGCTTATTGTCTGAAACGTTGGCTGTGTAGAAATAATTATTTATCTCCTTAAAATATTAACTATGTCAAAATAATTACTTATTTACTCTAAATATTGACTTACAGTGTCAAAATACTGACTTATTTTCTAGACATAATTTTTCTGTCAAAGTAATATTTTAATATTTTGAAACAATGACTTCTTTTCTCAATATTTTGAGTTTTGGGAGAGATAATAAGTCATTTTTTGGATGTACAGAAAATTATTAGGGTTACAATTATTAGTTGTTTTGAGATACTAAGTCAGAAATTTGACGTCCTGCTGTGAGAAACAGAACACAGCTGATTTTCTCCTTGGGCTTCTGTAGAGAGTGTGTTTAACTGGAGCTTTGCTGTTTAACTCTCTCTCTTCTCTCTCTCTCTCTCTCTCTCTCTCTCTCTCTCTCTCTGTCTCTCTCTCTGTCAGATACAGTGTCTCTGTGATCTTTTATCTGTTTACGTTCCAGGACAGTTACAGTGTATGTATGTGTACTGTGTGTTTAGTGAAGGTATATATGTTTGTCTGTGTGAATGTGTATGTGTATGTAAATATGTGTGTGTATGTGTTTAAGTGTATATGTATGGAAGTGTGTGTGTGTGGTGCTCTGTGAGTGAGTCCTCACAGTGTGATCCTGTGTGTCTGCAGTGTTAAAGAGGAGACTGCATTCAGAACCACTGTGAGCTCAGACAGTGGTTTCAGTCAGCAGTTCAGTCAGCGGCTCAGTCAGCGGCTCAGTCAGTGTTTCAGTCATAGGTTCAGTCAGCGGCTCAGTCAGCGGCTCAGTCATAGGTTTCAGTTATAGGTTCAGTCATAGGTTCAGTCAGCGGCTCAGTCAGCGGTTCAGTCAGCGGTTCAGTCATAGGTTCAGTCATAGGTTCAGTCTGCGGCTCAGTCAGCGGTTCAGTCAGCGGTTCAGTCATAGGTTCAGTCAGCGGCTCAGTCAGTGGTTCAGTCAGCGGTTCAGTCATAGGTTCAGTCATAGGTTCAGTCAGCGGCTCAGTCAGTGGTTCAGTCAGCGGTTCAGTCATAGGTTCAGTCATAGGTTCAGTCAGCGGCTCAGTCAGTGGTTCAGTCAGCGGTTCAGTCATAGGTTCAGTCATAGGTTCAGTCTGCGGCTCAGTCAGCGGCTCAGTCAGTGCTTCAGTTAGCGTTTCAATCAGAGGTTCAGTCAGCGGCTCTGGATGGACTGTTGCTTTGACAAAGGAGCTGCTTACATGACTGTACTGCTGTCCACTCCTCTTCTTCCTTTTTTGCTTTCTTTTTTTCTTTCCATTTTATTTCTCTTTCTCTTTCTTCAGTATGTCTGTGTATCTCTTTCAGTCTCTGTTTTTGTGTTTCTCACTGTGGGTTCTCTCTGTGGTTTTCTCTGTGATTCTCTCTGGTGGTTCTCTGTGGTTCTCTCTGTGGGTTCTCTCTGTACTTCTGTGGCTCTCTGTGGTTCTCTCTGTGGTTCTGGTTCTGTGTCCTGCTCTGCTGTACAGGCTCTGCTGTGTGTTTGCTGAACTGTGGGGTTCTGTTAAGCTCACCTGTCTCTGTTCTGGCTCAGGTGAGAAAGTGATGGCAGACGATGAGTTCACCTGTGACCTATTCCGTTTCCTGCAGCTACTCTGTGAAGGACACAATAACGGTCAGTTACTGCCCTGCACACCCACAGTGGACCCAAAGAGAACCTTCTTAATCTTTACACCAGCTTATCCTCCCCAGGAGGAGCGCTGTGTCCGCCATTATGGCTCCATCTGCTTTTTTAAGGTGTTTTGAGATGTGAGCCGGTAGCTGTTACTGCTAACCATAGTTTAGCTCTGTTTACCAGGAGATGAAGCCCAGTGTTTAAGTTCTACTGCAGCAGCTCGTAATGTTCTCTAGTGGAACCTGCAGGTAAGAGTGAGTTCTGTTTTGTTTTTGCTCTCTGTAGATTTCCAGAACTACCTCAGAACTCAGACTGGAAGCACAACCACCATCAACATCATCATCTGCACTGTGGACTACCTGCTGCGTCTGCAGGTGAGCAGGGAAGGTGTGCTTTAGAGGGCTAAACGATATATTGTTGGTTAATCGTTATCGTGATTAATCTTTACACCAAACTCTTGGGAAACTGGGCGAGTTTTTCAGAGGAGTCCGGGCAGAGTTACAGTTTCTAGACTATGAAGGATTAACTGGGTGAACCAGTCTGCTACAGCGCCACCCTGAGGCAGAGCAGTGCTGCAGCAAGTTAGTTAAGAATAACACAGACAGAAGCTGATTGTGGGGGAAGCAGATCAACAATGAGCTTCACTCAGTCAGGATTTGAGTGTCTCTAATGGACAGCATAACATCATCATATGTTTATTTTCAGGGGACCCCCATAATTTTGATTTTGAGACATTCACGTAGTCCAGTAGGTTAATTTGGGGGTCTTGGAACACCAGAACCCCCCGTATTTCACACCTTGATTGCAATATAGTATATCTGATACAGGTGTTTTGTTTATGTTGTGTAAATCATTATCAGGGGAAAAGTGCTGCTAGTAGCTAACAAAGCAGCCTGCAGAATTCTTATGAAGTTTTACAGTAAGGACACCAAATAATCGGCGAGGATAGGAAATGAAATAAATTAGAAACGCACAGCTATACATGTCTTATAACATTATAACCGTACAGAGCTTTAGTATTTACAGTGTAAGTGCCCATTGTGCATATTTTTGTTCTGAAATGTGTGCAGGAATCCATCAGTGATTTTTACTGGTATTATTCCGGGAAGGAGATCATTGACGATCCAGGGAAAGAGGAACTTCTCCAAGGCCATGGCTGTCGCCAAGCAGGTCTTCAACAGCCTGACTGAGTACATCCAGGTGAGGCTACACTGAGAACCTCACAAACATGAGCTGACAAATGTTAGAACCCGTTTTTACAGTAATTAGTCTTTGTTGCTGGTATTATTATTCAGTAGAGTAGAGTCTCTGTGTAGGTGATTGATTAGTCTCAGCCTCAGAAGCTCCGCCCACAGAGGTAAACAGGCTCTCTGATATCTACACGCTTGAAAAAAGATGATTTAGCGAAGGCAGTTGGTTCTGTTCATTTCATGCTTAAACGGTTCTTTGAATGGTGAAATCGTTCTTCAGATTGATGTAGAATGTGTTGTAAATGGTTCTATATTGATTTTATTGTTACAAGCTGGACACCCTACAATAGAAGAACCCTTTTTGGTGCTATATAGAAGCATTTTCAAAAAATTTCTGTATACAATCGTATACAACAGATTCTCCTTCAACCTGAATAACTATTTCACAATGCAAATAACCATTTAAGCATGAACTAGATAATAGAACCGGTAAATAGAACTGTTGCCTTTACTAAAGAACGCGTGAAGGGGGTCCATGTACCTTTCGTTAATTAGTTTTCCATTTCGAATCCTACAATAGAAAAACAGACAACGACCCATTTCCAAATTTTTTCATTTCATCAAACACCAGAGTATGCAGATTATTTATTTGTTTATTTTTTCAATTTTTCCAATACATTAAAACACAAATTCAGGGAATATTAGAATCTGACATATTTTCATTTTAGTTCACTATATATAGATGTTTTTTTCTTCATACAAAAGGCAGTTAATAACAGAGATATGAGTCACGTAAATGTCACCGTTCTGCTGCAGTTTTGTGCCAGAATGACTCTAGAACAGAAACTAGATGTACAGCTTCTTCTCAAGCCATAATTTGTGCAAAACTTTCTTATATTAGCCTCAGAACACCTTCTCAGGTCCCCATTGTGCATAGAAAGCATATGTTGTGCTGTCTTTGATGACAGTTTTCATTAAATCATGAAATGCGTCAAGTGTACTCGTCTTCAGTCTACCAGCAGAATAATTTCCTCCGTTCGATACAATAACTGTCCAGTTATCATATTTTCTAAGGAGGATTTTTTCCCTGTTGGCTGTTTCTTCCTCCATCAGCTCCAGATCTTGTTTGCTAAAATTGTGTAAACGCTTGGTTTGATGTTTTTCCTCCATTTTGCTCCTTAAGAAAATCTTAAAGAAATAATTAAGATTATCTTTAAAGAATATTTGAGAACTTAAGTTTTTTTTGAGAACTGCATTTAAGAACATTCTTATGAACTTCTTAGTGTTTGTTTTAAGAACGTTCGCTTTTCCTTAAGAAAGCCTTAATGAATCCAGCCCCGGATTCTGTAATGACAGACAGAAGTGTGGCTTACGAGACGTGATGAATGATGAAGGAGTGATGAATGTTGGTTTAAGGCAGGTGTATCCAAACTCGTACCATGCCAAAATATGATTCACAAATGATTTGAAACGTTAAGTTTCCAAAATGTGGAAAATACAACCATTTTGAGCGGCCCCTTATAACACACTCTGAAACAGAAGCCACGGGCCAGTTATAACCTGCCTGCGGGACTCATTTGGCCCTGGGGCCGGACTTTGGTCACCCATGGTGTGTGGAGTATGGCCTTTTCTGTTTCCCAGATTTTTTAAGCAAGAGGTTTATTGATATGTGTGTATTCATTTCAATAAAAAACTCTCTCTCTCTCGCTCTCATTCAGGGCCCCTGTACAGGTAACCAGCAGTCTCTGGCCCACAGCAGGCTGTGGGACGCTGTTGTTGGTTTCCTTCACGTCTTTGCTCATATGATGATGAAACTGGCTCAGGTGAGCAACACTGCATCATTTACACTGAACACTTACTTTAATCCTGCTTATGCGCAGTGACAATTTATGTAAGAAATGTGTACATTAGGAATGATTATTACATGGTTACTCATACTTATAAAAATACTTATATATGAAAATGTTGTTACATGTTATAAATGCAGTCTGCCTCTGTACATTTGTAGAATGCTAATATATTATGGTAAACTCAAATCTGATTGTAGCGCCTCTAATGCCGTGTGCATATTAAATTTCCACAAAGGGTGTTTTCACACTTGAGTCCTCACCCATGACCGATTCTGGGCTCGTTAGGGGGAGGGGTTAATTATCGCTTGTTTGCTTAAATAAATAATTCCACCTGAATCGAGGATCAACTGCGCTGTTCCATCCATCACTTTTCTGAGTGCAGATTGCAGATTGGTCGGCATCGCTTCATCTGTTTCCTGCTTCTTGTTATTTTGTTTGAAGCGGGGAAGAGCAGCTCTTTCTGTCCACAGCTGTCCTCTCCCCCATCACCACACCTATAAAAGGGAAGTGATGCGATAATTTGAAACAGTCAAGTTACAAAATGAGCCAAACGCACAGCCCCACAGGCGGCGCAGGGAGTGGAGAGCTTCCACACGTACAGCGGACCCACCAGAGTTCCCCAGACCACCGATTTCAGAGCAGAGATCGGTTCTCTGGACTGCTTGCGGGCTCCAAAACAGCCCAACCAACCAGGGGTGTGGACTCGAGTCATATGACTTGGACTCATGAGTCATGAATCATGTCATGAAGTCACGAATTTCATGACTTTAGATTCGACTCAAGATAATCGAGAAAGTCTTGCGACTTGACTTTGACTTGACACCAGTGATTCGGACTCTGACTCTGACTTGAGCATGATGACTTGGGAAGACTCGAGATTCAAAGTGGAAGAAACGTGGAGAGTCAGACTGCAGACGGGACGCTACACAGCCTGCTGTTTTTCATGTGAATGGATTCGTTTCCTACCAGAATTTGAATAAACAGCGACATCCGCAGATGTCTGTCACTGTGGTTATGCTCGGTTTATTTTATTTAGGAAGACACATGAAGTGTTTTGAGTCAAGTTTACCTGCATAAGCTGGAAACAAGCAAAGCATCAACAGCATCAATGCGTCCTCACTCAGCGCTTAAACTCCGCTCTTACTGGATAAACTTACCAGGCAAACTGACCATTTTCCTCACGGCAGCAAAACAAAAGAAGCACAGCGTCTCTGTTCGACAGATTCTAACAGCTTCTGCAGGTAAAATAAGCGCAACGTTCACCATGAGGCTGCAGTTGACTTTTTTTTGCCAGCTAACATGCTGTCATTAAAATGCTACAGTACGGTTTAATTTTGTTCAGTGCTGTGGCCTTAAATTAGCTGAAGAATGCAGACTGACTTGTTTGGGACCTAAAGATTAGGACTATTGACTCAGGACTTCAATTGAGACTCAGCTCCCTCGACTCAGGACTTGAGTGTGAAGACTTGAGACTTACGTGTTACTTGCAGCTTAGTGACTCATTGCCACCTCTGCGACCAACCGTACCGGACTCACAGAGCGAGCGGTCCTGGGTCTGGAAAAAACTCCAGTGTGAAAACGGCCTTAAAGTGCTCAGTGTAGTTTCTAATAATGAGCTTTGTCTTATTTTAGCTGCATGACAGAAAAGCTGTGATTTTAATTGCTTAGCATTTAGACTAGAGGCTTTTTAGATGTGAAGCGTGTTACATTCCTGTTTCAGACCGTATGATGCTTCGGAATGTAATGCTGTTCTTGCTCTGAAATGAAGGAATGTTGTATTGATTAATGCAACTGTTTTTCACATGGTCTGTGCAGGGAAGAGTATGTATCACTCTATTTATTTATTACAGTGATTGGCTTTGTGTTTGGCCCTCTCTACACCCTGCCCTCCGACACTCAGAGTGTCTGCATCCCCTGCTGAACACAGACAGGGATGAATGAAAGAGATTAGAGACTCAGCACTGACTGTTTGCTGAGTCAATATTAGCTAGAACTTTAAAGGCCATGCAGGAGGATTAAAGGTGATCTCTCATTAACACACATAGCCTACAGCACTTTAGCCACATCCGTTTAGCCTACAGCACTTTAGCCCCGCCCATTCACCCTACCACAGTTTAGCCCCCGCCCATTCTGCCTACCTCACTTTAGCCCCACCCATTCAGCCTACATCAGTTTAGCCCCGCCCATTCTGCCCACAGCAGTTTAGCCCTGCATATTCAGCGTACAGCAGTTTAGCCCCACCCATTCAGCCTATAGCAGATTAACGGGATGAATGGGAAAATTCAAACAAGAAGTTGGCAAATTGGAAGCCGAACTTCAGTAAACACTTTCTGAGCACCTCCAAACTTAAGAAACTCCATTGTCACAGGATGTGGAAGTGTTTTACTGACATGTTAATTCGCACGGGATTAATGTAATCTGAGGTTATTTTACGGCTCGTTTTGTAGAAGGTAAAAGGCGCTGGAATCTTTACTGAAGCAGGAGCACAGTCGGTACAAATGACTGAAGGTGCATTCGGATGGGATTAAAATCACTAAGAAACACTGGGAATAATTACATCACCCACCTCCTCATGTAAAAATAATTCTGAATAAGGCTTTAAAGACAGCCTGTTAAATTAGGGCCATTTTGGCACATAAACCCACACAAACTTAACAAGTGGGGAAAAAGTAAAATGGACAGAAAATTTGGGATGTGTGTTCTGTGCTTACTGTCACTGCAGACTGTGCAGTGAGTGTTGAATGATGAAGAAAGTGTTCAGCAGGAGGATCAGACAACCTGAGAGGGAAGCGAGGGCTGTTCAGCCCGTCCTGATGAAGACGAGCCCTTTAACACACGTCCGTCTGTGCTGACCCTGCGGTCAGGGTTGGGGAGAAACAATAAAAATGATAAATATATTAATGTTTATTAAATCAGCTGCTATAATCCATTATCTCCTTCTGTTCTCACATTCAGGACAGAATAAAACACCTCCATGTGTCTCTGTCAATCTCAGTGGCATTTATATTCATATATTTAAATGAGGAGAACCTGCAGTGGAACCTTCCCAACCCTGAATATTAAACAAGGTTTTTGACTGGAACCTGTTCTGCCCCCTGTTTGTGGTATTTGTCATCTGCTCTATGTGGACTTGTTTTCCCTGTTTACACACTTAAAAAAGATGGTTCTTTAAGGGTTCTTTAGGTTCTATTTAGATGAGTCCTATATAGGCCAATTTGCATGACTAAATGGTTCTCTGCATGGTGAAATTGTTCCTCAGATAGATTGAGAATGTGTTGTAATTGGTTCTGTGTAGCACCAAAAACGGTTCTGCTATTGTTACAATGTCAAGTTTGTTACAATAGAAGAACCCTTTGGGTTCTATATAGAACCATATACAGCACATTCTCCATCACTCTGAAGAACTCCTTCATGATGCAAAGAGCCCTTTATTCATGCAAAGGGTTCTTTGCATGTTCATAGTCCTACATAGAACTATTTTCTTTACTGAAGAACCTTTGAAGAACCATCTTTTTGAAGAGTGTATTGATACAAGCCTGATGTCAGAACAGAACCCTTAGCATAACCCTTTTTGGTGTTATACAGAACCATTTTCTAAAAGATTCAATATGGAACCATATACACACTTAAAATATGTTTTTTAGTAAAGGCAATGGCTCAATTTAGAACCAAGAGTCATTTATAAAATTAGTTGCACGCTTAAATGGTTCTCTGCATGATTAAATCGTTCTTCAGATTGAAGCTTTTGGAAATGGTTCTATATAGCACCAAAAAGGTTCTTCTAATGTTTCAAGCTTGACACCATAACAGTAGAAGAAACCTTTGAAGAACCATCTGAAGAACCATTTCACCATGCTTCTACATTTGTAGCAAATAGAACCACTGCCTTTGCTAAAGAACCCTTGAAGAACCATCTTTTTAAGAGTGTACCTTCCTTTGTAGTTTCCATGGTTTCATGTTCTAGCGTTTGCACATTTAACCTGGTTTTGGAAGTGAGCTTTGCTTTTTCTTTGCATGACCTTAACCTGCCGTTCAGAACGCATAACAACACCTGTGATCCTCAGCGTCCACACCTGCTGTCCACTGTGGTCAGTTTGCTGTTTTGGTTGCATCATAAAGGTTCTGGACCATCAAGTAATCCTACTGCCCTGTATGACTGAAAATGCTGCATTTACACTGAATTTTACTCTTTTTATCAGTTTTATTTGCTGATTTATTGTATTTTCTTTAAAACCATCTAAAGTTGTATTTTTAGTTATTTTATAATTCTGGCTCGGCCACAGGCAGTAGGACTTTCCCGTATGTTCTGTTTCAGGACTCGAGTCAGATCGGCCTGCTGAAAGAGCTGCTGGACCTGCAGAAGGACATGGTGGTCATGCTGCTCTCACTGCTGGAGGGTCAGTATCAGTGTAGCTCCAGTAGATCCAGATTAAGCCCAGTGTGAAAGGAGATTTCATAGTTAGTCTTAGAATTTTTTTATTATGTAGTGTTGTTATTTTTTATGGTACTCATGGGGAACTAATCATTCAATTAAGCAGTAGAACACAGAGGGAGTGTGTTATCGCGAAATAACATCACTGTGATTCGGTCGCCGTAGATCATCACAGCCGTGATGTTATTGGTGATAACACACTCCTCGAGTGTTCTATTGCTTTAATACAACAGTTAAATAAATACAGTAATAAATTAATAAACTGGGCCGTGAACGCGGCGTTTAATGTTTTAATGTTTGCAGTTCCTTCACCAAATTATAGTTCCTTAACAACGAGCTCCGCCCACTCGCTGCACAGCCGGCAGTTCGTTCTCCAGCTCCTTACACTAAATTTCCAAACTGTCGTCACCACTGAGCAGCTTTTCAGTCGGCAGCTGTGACAGAAGAACAGCTAAACAACCTGGAATCAGCCAGAAATGAACCCAACACCATTCGCCAAACTACATGGGCTGTAAGATGCTTTACAGACTGGCTGGAACAAAACAACATTAATATCTGGCAAAAACTGACAAAACTGAGCTGAACTTGATATTGTGTCAGTTTTAGTGGGTCAGTCTGATTTGGTCAGACTCTGCAGATCAGACTACACGTTTGGCGAATGGTGTTGGGTTCATTTCTGGCTGATTCCAGGTTGTTTAGCTGTTCTTCTGTCTCAGCTGCCGACTGAAAAGCTGCTCAGTGGTGATGACAGTTTGGGAATTTAGTGTCGTCTCATCTTCAGAGTCTGACCAAATCGGCTGTCGGTCAAATGTGATCTTAAACGTGTCCATTTTCTGTTTGTGGCAAAGTATGAAGTAAAAACATTCGAATGACTTGAGCATCTCCTACAGCTGTCAAAGTCGTTGCTTAGCAACGACGTCTCAGCGGAGTGATTCAGTGTTCGTGAAAAAACGTGCTGTTATGGTGAAATATCAGTTAGAACAGTTCTCAACCAATCAGCTTGCGTGGCCGGAACTAACTGTTGTATAAATAAGCAATAATATCTGCTCATATATGCCATACACTCTACAAGATGGTTCTTCAAGAGCTCTTTAGTAAAGACAATGGACACTCCATGCTTAAAGAACCAATTGCATGCTTAAAGGATTCTTTGCGTGGTGAAATGGTTCTTGAGATTGATAGCGAATGTGCTGTAGATGGTTCTATGTAGAACTTTTTTGAAAAGGGTTCTATGTAGCACCAAAAAGTGTTCTGCTTGTAAAGCTTGTAACAATAGGAGAACCTTTTTTGATGCTACATAAAACCATATACAACACATTTTCCATCAGTCGGAAGAACCGTTTCACCATGCAAAGAACCATTTAAGCAAGCACATGATTCTTTGAATGTTTATGGTTCTATGTAGAATCATAGTCTTGAAGAACCTTTTTTGCATATATTGGCAAAATTATACAGATTCCAGTAGTCTTAGTTAAACAGTGTTTTGTTATGGTCTCAGTTCTTGTCTTAAATAAAGTAGATGTAAAGTAAGGAACCAACAATGCTGTGAAAAAGTGTTTGCCCCCACCCAGTTTCTTCTATATTTGCTAATTTTTCACATTTAAAAGTTTCAGATCATCCAACTCATTTTAATATATGGTAAATACAACAGAAGTAAACACAAAACACAGCTTTTAAATGATTGTTCCATTTATGGATGATAAAGATTTATTCAAGACCTATGTCACCAATGTGAAAAAGTAATTGCCCGTTAAGCCTAATAACTGGTTGTGCCACCCTCGGCAGTAATAACTGTAATCAAACCTTTGCGATAACTTGCGATGAGTCTTTTACATCACTTTACATTCTGGCCCACTCTTCTTGTTTTAATTTGGCTACATTGGAGGGTTTTCAAGCATTAACTGCCCGATTAAGGTGTTGGGATGGGATTCACGTCAGTCCAAAACCTCAATTTTGTTTCTTTTGAACTGCATAACCCAACTGCGCTTGAACTGATGGGCGGACAATCTCCTTCGGGATTTTCTGATGACTTGAGATCAGAATTCATGGTTCCATCATGGACCCATGTCGTCCAACTTTGACTCATCAGTCCACAATGATCCCAAAAGTCTTGGTGTCTTTGTCTAATATTGAAAGTAGTTTGATGATGTGAAACATTCGAGTGTGACAAATACACAAAAAAAGAAGTTGGGAAGGGGGCAAAAACTTTTTCATAGCACTGTATAAATAGCTTTTTAACTTAACCTTAAAGGAAGAAAATAACATGAAAGTTTGGTTGAAGTTCAAAATAGCAAAGCGGCCTTCTTTTATTACATTATTATTAGCGTCAGCGTTATTGGTGCTTTATTGGCAGGTATTCTGTCAATAATAAATTTGTGGAACCTTCTTATGAGCTGATATATTGATATATAATCTAAAATGATATATTGCTCGAGCGCTAACCTGAACAAGGTAGTCATTTGCGTTTTTTTATCCCAGTTCTTGTAAAATTCTCCTTTTTTTTTGTCAGGTAATGTTGTGAATGGCACGATTGCTCGTCAGATGGTGGACATGCTGGTGGAATCTTCCAGTAATGTTGAGATGATCCTGAAGTTCTTCGACATGTTCCTCAAACTGAAAGACATTGTCGCCTCTGACGCTTTCCGAGACTACGTCACTGACCCCAGAGGTTTGATTTCGAAGAAGGACTTCCAGAAAGCGATGGACAGTCAAAAGCAGTACACGCCTTCGGAGATACAGTTCCTCCTGTCCTGCTCCGAGGCAGACGAGAACGAGATGATACACTACGAGGAATTCGCCAGCCGCTTCCAGGAGCCGGCGAAGGACATCGGCTTCAACATCGCCGTCCTGCTGACCAACCTGTCAGAGCACGTTCCCCACGACACCCGGCTGCAGAACTTCCTGGAACAGGCTGAGAGTGTCCTGAACTACTTCCGGCCGTTCCTGGGCCGCATCGAGATTATGGGCGCCAGCAGGAAGATCGAGAGGATCTACTTCGAGATCAGCGAGGTGAACCGGCGACAGTGGGAGATGCCGCAGGTCCGCGAGTCCAAGCGGCAGTTCATCTTCGACGTGGTGAATGAGGGCGGCGAGTCCGAGAAGATGGAGCTTTTTGTGAACTTCTGTGAAGACACCATCTTTGAGATGAACATTGCGTCCCAGATTTCAGAGCAGGAAGAAGAGGAGAAACTAGAGGACGATGAAGAGCCAACCGAAGGAGGAGAGGGAGGAGGAGGAAATGATGAAGAAGGTGGAGGAGAAAACAGCCAACCAGAATCCAGCTCCGCTTTCGCAGACTTTCTCACCAGCATGCTCAACTTTTTCGGGATGTTCACCTTCCGTAACCTTCGCAGGCAGTACCGGAGACTCCGGAAGATGACCGTAAAAGAGGTCATCGTCGGCGTTGCGACCTTCCTCTGGACAATCCTGTTGGGCATCTTCCATTTCATCTACAGTGTGTGTAAAGGACTCTTCCTGCTCGTCTGGCACACTCTGTTCGGGGGCAGTTTGGTAGAAGGAGCCAAAAACATCACAGTGACCGAAATCCTGGCCAGCATGCCGGATCCCACTCAGGACGAAGTGCACGGAGACCTGCCTGGAGAGCCTGGAGGTGGGGAAGAGCAAGAGGCCGGAGGAGTGACAGACTCCACAGAAGCAGCAGGAGGAGAGGAGGAAGATGAGGAGAGCACAGAGAAAGATGTGGGAAAAATCCCTGGCATCGATACGCCCGGCGGACTGGGGGATATGGGAGACACGACTCCGATCGACCCTCCAACTCCAGAAGGTTCTCCTTTAACCAAGAGGAAAATGGTATGGCCAGACAACTTGTAGAGAGGAGAAATAATGCTCTTTAATGTCTTTGGAGTTTCTCAAACACTCGAGGGCGCTCCTGAGTGAGTCCAAAATGAATGGGTTAAGATGGAGCATTTAAGTAAAATCATAGGTTATAAATGCTTAAACATTTTTGGGCCCAGTCCCATTTCTTCTTTTTACCCCTACCCCTTGTTTTCGAGCGTCACCCTAACCCCTTTGAACTGAGTTGTAGGGGGTAGTGGTTGAAATATTGACCTACGAGATGGGACCCTCAAATTAAAACAAAACCTTGCTTCATTAACAGCTACTAGCGCCGCCCTGTAGACGACCCGACCCGTCTTCGGTGACAGCAGAGGAGGGTAAAGTTCAGCTCCTCACTGCTGGGCTTTAGTTACATTTAGGGCATCATATGCCTTCAAAGAGGGGGGCAATTATTTATTATCACCCCCCCTTAATTCTTCAGTGATATGAAGCTGAAGTCAGATATTCACCAGATTCTTGTTTGAGTTTTCCCATTCCACCTTAAATGGTGCAGCAGTTACATTCGGGAGCTTGAGGCATCAGAACTGCTGGACTATTTAAGGTGGAACAGGAAAGTTAGCTAGCTAGCTACCGTGACATTAACATGCTATTAGCGATTTTTTATGCTTGTTATGAAGAAAACGACCAAAATACACTGAAACTACATTAAACTAAGATAATACAGTGGTTATCATAACTTTAACAGAGTAAATTCTCACATTTGTGGGTTTCTTTGGTCTCTTGTTCTCCATCTTGCCGGTTTTTCTTTTTTTCTCAAAACTCTCTGTTTGGAGTCTCTGAAAAACCTCTGTTTGGAGGGTCATGTAGCCCCAACACTTCACCCTACCCCTCTATCTCAACAAGAATGGCACACTCTACCCCTAGTGCAAAACAGAGGGCTAAGGGCTAAGTGGTAGGGGCAAGGGGTGAAATGGGACTGGGCCTTAATGTAAAAAAACACATTCATATCCTGAACACAGAACATCATAAAACATTTTAGTTTTCCGTGGGGAGGTGAACACATTAGACTCATCTGAACCCACCATCTCAGTAATTTTACTGACTGCACATAAAACTGTAGAAATAATCCAAGGTTATATAATCCTGTGCTATAAAACAAATCATAGAAATAACCGTTTATATTAATCCCAAGATATTAAACTAGTAAAATAGTGGAAATATTTTGTGATATTAATCCCGTGCTGTAAATTAAACTGTTGACGTAATTGCAGATTATATTAATCGTGCTATAAAACAAACTGTAGAAATAATTAAAGGTTATTAATCCTGTGCTATGAAATGAATCATAGAAATAACCTCAGTTAATATTAATCCCAAGCTATTAAAAGAATAGTAGAATTAATCCCAGGTTATATACATGTGTTGTAAAGCAAACTATAGGAATAACCCCGGTTTATGTTAATCCCGTGCTATAAAACAAACCTGAATGGCTTTTATGTTAACTCACTCTGCCTAACAGCGCACAGCGCTCTTACAGGCTCTAAATAAAGTTTAAAGTCAGCTGTTTATTCAGTGATTTCACTGCAGGCATTGCAGTGAGCAGAGAGCAGTGAAGAAGGGTGCCTGATCAGTGGTTCGTGTTTTAGCAGCCAGAAGAAGCCGGAGCTGAACAGACTGCAGCTGTAGAGGAGCCGCCACCTGAGCCGGAGAAAGCAGAGTGAGTGGAGCTCGTTCTCTTCACGCCTGCTGTGACTGAGCCCAGCCTGGCCAGAAAACATTAATTATTTAAGTGACTATTTATTTATTATAAACATTCACTGACCGGCCACTTCATTAAAATGAAAGCCACTGTCTTGTATTTACACTCATCAGACACAGCAGTGCTGCTGGAGTTTTTAAACACTGTCCATTCACTGTCCACTCTATTCGGTACAGTTTGTGTTGGTCATCCTGTAGTCCTTCATCAGTGGTCACAGGACGCTGCCCACAGGACACTGTTGGCTGGATGTTTCTGGTTCCCAGTCCAGCAGTGACACTGAGGGGTTTAAAAACTCCAGCAGCACTGCTGTGTCTGATCCACTCGCACCAGCGCAACACACACTAACACTCCACCACCACGACTGTGAGGGTCCATGGGGGTCCTGACCATGGAAGAACAGGGTAACAAAGTATGCAGAGAAACAGATGGACTACAGTCTGTAACTGTAGAACTACAGAGTGAAACTATACGGTCAGTGGAGCTGATAAAGTGGACAGTGAGTGTAGAAACAAGGAGGTGGACTCTTCTCCTGCAGTGCTGTGTTATCCGTTCTGGTAACCTTTTCATTTCCACCAGCACTGAAAACGGTGAGAAGGCAGAGAAGGAAGTGGTGGCCAAGGCTGAAGAGCCGCAGGAGAAGGAGAAGGTGGAAAAGACCAGTAAAGCAAAGAAAGAGAAGAAATCGGCCAAAGATGAAGGATTTGAGCTTTGGAACGAGCTGGATGTTCAAAGAAATAAATTCATGGTAGGAAACGAGAGACTTCATCAGTTCTGCTCCTGAACTTGAGTCTTTAATCAGTTTAGTTTTGGTTTTATTTGCATCACTCACATTTCTTTCTCATCCACAGAACTATCTGTCTCGCAACTTCTACAACCTCCGCTTTCTGGCTCTGTTTATCGCCTTTGCTCTGAACTTCATTCTGCTCTTCTACAGGGTCTCTGAACCTTTTAATACTTTACTCAATCAGCTGATTTTGTTAATTTGCAGAAATCTACTGGAAAATATCACACGCAGTACAATTAACACAAGTTTGTTTTTTTGAAGAATAAAGTTGATCTCAGTTTTAGACTCAGTTTACCGACCAGCCTGATGTGTTTGTTGTCTTAAAACGATGGTTATTCAAGGGTTTTAGTAAAGCAATGGTTAGTTCTATATAGCACCAGAAAGGGTTCCACGATTGTTACAATGTCAAGCTTGTAATTATAGAAGAACCCTTTTTGGTGCTATATAGAATGTATTGTATATCGTTCTATATAGAACCTTTTTGAAAAAGGTTCTAAATAGCACCCAAAAGGGTTCTATGATTCTTACGTTGTTGAGCTTGTAATAATAGAAGAACCCTTTTTGGTGCTATATAGAATGTATTGTAAATAGTTCTATATAGAACCTTTATAGTGTTTTACGATTGTTTTGATGCCAAGATTGTAACAATAGAAGTACCCTTTTTGGTGCTGCATATAATATATTGTATAGGGTTCTATATAGAACCTTTTTGAAAATGATTGTATTTAGCACCATAAATGGTTCTGTGGTTGTTACAGCATCAAGCTTGTAATAATAGAAGAACCTTTATTGCTGCTATTTAGAAGCATATACAACACATTCTCCAATCTGAAGTACCATTTTACCATGCACAGAACCCTTTGAGCATGCAAATGTTTCTATATGGATCTCTAAATAGAACCATTTCCTTTACTAAAGAACCTTTGAAGAACTATCTACTGTATGTTTTGTTGTAAGGAGGGAAAACTGATTTTAATTATGTTATGTTTTAATCTGAGCTAAGTGTATTGTGTGGTGTTTTATTGGAGCTTTGTGTTCTTCATCCTCTTTGTCCAGGTGTCAGACACTCCTCCAGGTGATGAGTTTGAGGGTTCTGGGCTGTTTGAAGGTTCTGGGCTGTTTGAAGGCTCTGGGGAGGAGATGGACGGCTCTGGAGCGGAGGATGGAGGTGGTGATGATGATGATGAGGAAGGGCCTGTGTACTACTTTCTGGAGGAGAGCACAGGATACATGCAGCCCACGCTGGCCTTCCTCGCCGTCCTCCACACCGTCATCTCCTTCATCTGCATCATCGGATACAACTGCCTCAAGGTTTAACCTCCGCTAGAACAAACCGCCCTGAGCTGATGAACACTCTGAGTGTGTTTACATGCATTTGATAATCGGATAACTGCAAAAATCAGATTTTGTCAGTAACTGGTTCAGTGTGTTTACATGCACTTGAGTAATCAGATAATGGAGAAACTCCGGGTCTCCATTGGTCAGACAGTAATCATATTTCTGCTTTACAGCCAGCCAATAAACTCACAGAAGAAGACGCGACGTGAACGTAACGTAAAACTCAAACTTCATGCTGCAGCTGTTTTTAAACATTGTCCCACTTTACCTGAAAATATGAACATACATCATTTAGAAGGTGAAGAATATTTAAATCCTTAATTTCGTGTTTGGTTTCAGCGTCACTCTAAAAGTGTTGTGCTGCGTTTCGTGGTGACGCTGCTCACTTATTTCCAGTTCCACCGTCTGTTTCACACATGTGCAGACTGATAGAAATCCGAGCAAGAGTTTACATGCACTGAGAAATCTGATTACTGAGCTAAAATCTAGCCTCTTTATCAGATTTCTTAATCAGATTTCTAGAACTTACTCCGATCTAAGAGACCAGAGTGTGCTGTTTACCTGATCATTTGTATAATCAGATAACTGCAGATATCCGATTACGATCGGATTAATAAGTGCATGTAAATAAGTGCTTGGACAATCTGATATGCAGGCTTTTCTTTATTTCTGCCGTGTCTTACATTTTAGAATAGCACCAAAGACCAAAGTGTTCTTTATTAACAACAGTGGTTCTATTTAAAACCATGAACAATCAAAGAACCGGGGTGGGAATAAGATAATTAAGTCATGACCACGACTTAGTAAGGCGTAGGAACGAGATAATTAGGTTGTGGCCATGACTTAGTAAGGCGTGGGAACGAGATCATGCTTTATTAAGCTGTGGTCAAGGCTTGATTATTTTGTTCCCACACCTTACTAAGTTACATTATTCTTATTTATACAGGATGTCAACAGCGGGGCTTTGTATAAATGGTTCTTTTTCAGATTGATGGACAGTATGTTCTATATAGCACCAAAAATCAGTCTGAAGAACTCTTTCACCATGAAAAAGAACCATTTAAGCATGCAGTAGTAGTTCTATATAAACCATTCAGTTTACCAAAGCCCCCTTAAAGAACATTTTTATTTAAGCGTGTGTGTAATCACATATTGAATCATCCACTCACTCTGATGCTGATTTCGCCGTTAAACGCATCAGTGTTCCCCTCTGTGGACTGATCATGGCTCTGTGTGCTGTAGATCCCTCTGGTCATCTTTAAGAGGGAGAAGGAGCTGGCGAGGAAGCTGGAGTTTGATGGACTGTACATCACTGAACAGCCTGAGGATGATGATATTAAAGGGCAGTGGGACAGACTCGTACTCAACACACCGTGAGTCCACTTCTGCTGACCAGCAGAGCTTTTAAACCAAACTAAGGCCCAATCCTATTTCACCCCTCGCCCCTATCACTCAGCCCTACCCCTCAGTTTTGTGCGTTCTCGTCTAGGGGTAGGGGGTCGCGATTCTTGTTGAGATAGAGGGGCGAAGTGTTTGGGCTACATGACCCTCCGAAGGGAGGTTTTTCAGAGTCTCTAAGCAGAGTGACATGAGAAAGAAAAACTGGTAAGATGGCTGAACAAGAGACCAGAGAGACCCACAAATGTGAGAAATTTCTTTGTTATAAATTACGATAATCATCATATCACCTTAGTTTAATGTCGTTTCAGTGTATTATGATCCTTGTCTTCATCACAAGCATGAAAGATCGGTAATAGTATGGTGATGCCATAGTAGCTGGTAGGTAGCTAAATTTCCCATTCCCACTTAAATAGACCAGCAGTTCTGACGTCTGAGGCGCCAGGATGTAACTGCTGCTCCATTTAAGGTGGAACAGGAAAAATCGAGAAGCTGGCGAATATCTGACTTCAACTGAAGAATTCCACTGAAGAATTAGGGGTGGGTGATAATAAATAATTGCCCCCCCGCTGAAAACATATGATGCCCTAAATGTAACTAAAGCCCAGCAGTGAGGAGCTGAACTTTACCCTCCTCTGCTGTCACTGCAGACTGGCAGGGTCGCCTACAGAGCAGCGCTAGTAGCTGTTAATGAAGTGATGCTCTTTTTATTTGAGGGTCCCATTTCAGAGGGAAGATTTCAACCACTACCCTGTAACTCAATTCCCAGGGGCAACACTCAAAAACAAGGAGTAGGAGTAAAAATAAGTAATAAGATTGGGCTCAAATATGATCTAAGAAAATAAACTGACAAAATTAGCTCATTATTTTTCCTGTCAGTTTTTAATGTGGCAGTAACAATATCTTTGCATTCTGTTTTTGTTCAACAAAGAAATTTATTTGCTAATGTTTTGTGTGTTGATTGTTTCAGCTCATACCCAAACAACTACTGGGACAAGTTTGTGAAGCGAAAGGTAAGTGAGGAAAAGGGTGCAGTGTGTAAGATTTAATATCATCTAGTGGTGAGGTTGCAGACTGCACCAAGCTGAACCCCCCTCCCTCACCCCTCCCTTTTCAAGCGTGTAGTAGAACCTGCGGTGGCCGTCAGGTTTTCTGCCGTCGTCTGTCCTGATTTCATTTTGCTTCATGTTTCTCGTCTTTGACGGTGAGGATTTACGCTCTCTCACTTTCTCTTGTGCTAAATAATAAGTCTGATTCTCCATTTGTCAAAATTTCAGTTCTCAAATTTCTCACAACACAAAACAGTCAGCAGCACCGGCAGCTCCAATGATTCTTCTTCTTTCTACGTCTTCCAACCGGAGCTACAGCGCCACCAAATTCAAGCTGCCACTTCAGCATATAAGCATGAAAGACGCCCTCTAGAGTTACAGCTGATTATACACTAATGAACACATGGTTTTGTTATTATATTCCGTTTCTGATAATAGATCCCCTGAAATCTCACACACTGCACCTTTAATAACTGCACACATCGTAAATATATATAAGCAGCTGTTCTTAACTTTACGGATTTTTGTTATTTTTCACACTTTTAGATGTAGAAATTCCTTATTCAACATGCACATGGCAAGTAAAGCGTTCTGATTATGATGAGTGCAGCTCATAAGAGCCAAAATGAATCATATAGAGTCGTGTGCAAAAGTTTGTGCGACCCTGGTCACATCGTATGTTGTTTATTTTTTAAGTGTAAATAAGTTAACACATCCTGTATAACACACATTTTAATACACATTTACAGTTTATTTGCTGAGTTTTATATATTAGGAAATATATAACGTAATGTAGCCTGTGCAGAAGTTACGGCACATTATATGTTTTATTGATTTTTCCACTATAAACAGAAATAAAAATTGTGCAACAAATTTAGCAGAAAAATTCCATATTCATGTTGTATGTTCTCTGTAGAGGATGTGTTTAGTTATTTTCTCTTAGAAAAGGAACACCTTTTTACGCTCGACTGCATATCAGTAAGGAAATGCCAAATGGTCTCTCTGAATTGGCCCGGCTGCCTTTTCCCAGGTGCTGGATAAATACGGGGATATTTACGGCCGAGAGAGGATCGCGGAGCTGCTTGGGATGGACCTGGCCTCGCTGGATGTCAGCAAACAACAGAACGATAAAAAACCTGAGGAACAGGACAACTCCATGCTGGCCTGGTACTAAAGCCTCTGAGAACCAGTCAGAAACTTAGTTAAGACGGGTAGAAAACCTGCTTGGCTTTTATAGAGTGTAGTCAAGCACGTACCAGAACGAGTGCCTCCTGGTTGGTATAATTAATAACTGTGTTTTTATCGCCTTGTTCCGTTGTTTAGCCTGTTCTAGATCACTGTACTGGAACCAGCATAGTTCAATAAAAATGATCACTTCTGTTTTTTGTGCATCATTTTTATACATCAAATCATCCAGCAGTACGTGATACGATACACTGTTAGAAAGCCTTGGGTATCTTCATATATTCTATCTAGAACCATGAACACTCAAAAAAACATTTGCATGATTAAAGGGTTCTTTGTGTGGTAAAATAATTGTTCAGATTGATGGAGAATGTGTTGCAGATGGTTCTACATAGAACCTTTTTGAAAAGGGTTATGTATAGTACCCAAAATGGATCTTCTATTGTGACTATGTTAAACTTCCAATAATCTGCCAGATGAAGAACTCTTTTTGGTGCTATATAGAACCAACACACTCTCCATCAATCTGAAGAACGTTTTCAGCATACAAAGAGCCCTTTAATCATGCAAGTGGTTCTTTCAGTGTTCATGGTTTTATGTAGAACCATTTTCTTTACTAAAGAACCATCTTTTTTGAACCCAGAAGGGAACATTCCCACAACTTTGGCTAACGTTCCTCAAGTTCTAATAATGTTTTAAAGAAAACCTTTTAATCTAATGTTTAAAGAACGTTTAAAGGATGTTTATCATTTTAATGATGTTCTCTTTCTGTTTCAGGCTCACAGCTGTTGACATCAAATATCAGATCTGGAAATTTGGAGTCGTGTTCACAGACAATGTAAGAACCAGGGAGTATTACACTGCACTCTCTTAAAGATGGTTCTTCAAAGGTTCCTCGGTAAAGAACTTCTCTATAGAATGCTTAAATGGTTCTTTGCACGATGAAATGGTTCTTCAGATTGACGGAAAATGGTTCTATATAACACCAAAAAGGTTCATCTGTTTTTACAAGTTTGACATTGAACCCTTTTCGGTGCTACATAGAACCATTTTCAAAAACGCTGTATATAGACCCATGTTCACATTCTCCATCAGTCTGAAGAATTATTTCACAATAAAAGGAACCATTTATGCATGAACTTTTTATACATAGAGCTCATGGTTCTAAATAGAACCATTCCCTTTACTAAAGAACCTCGTGCAGTGTATTGATTGTTTCTGTTTGAACAGCAGTGTATTGATTCTGATTTTACTATATTGCATTAATTATTTTGTGTTGATTGACTCTTATCGTACTATATTTTATTGATTTAAATTGTATTGACTGATTCTGATTGGACTTTATTGCATTGATTATACTGTACTGATTGATTCTGATCGTGCTGTATTGCACTGATTGATTCCTGACTCCTGACTTAGGCAGAGCTAAAACTCCTAAAGGTTCTTCTCTGTCCTGTAGACGTTCCTCTATCTGGTCTGGTACACTGTGATGTCTCTGCTCGGCCACTACAACAACTTCTTCTTCGCCTGTCACCTGCTGGACATCGCCATGGGCGTCAAAACACTGCGGACCATCCTGTCCTCTGTCACGCACAACGGCAAGCAGGTACAGCAGCGCTGCGTTCAGACTGATTTTACAGCTCAGTCAGGTGTTACATGTGTTACATCAGGAGTGAGTAAAGAAAGACACTGTTACCAACACACAGGGTGAAGAAGGCTCTTCACATAGAAACATTCTCAACGCAAGTACGAGCGCAAAAGACCGTCCTGCCGTATGAACCCAACATGGGTTCTCACATTAAAAACACATCGTCTGGTGATGCTACAGCCGTCCGTGGCCAGGAGTCCAAGAGAGCACAGTTGTCCTCTCTCTCTCTGGGTGGGCAGGATGGCCCCCGTCTCCCCCCCGCCACTCAGTGTGATGCTAGCCAGCGCAGGCGTCTGATAGCTGACATAACAAAACTGGCGGTTCTAATTGTTCTAAACAGAGCCATGAACATGCAAAGAACCCTTTGAAAGATTAAGTGGTTCTTTGCATCATGAAAGTCTTTTTCAGATTGATGGAGAATGTGCATTAATGTGCTATAGACAGTTCTATATATGGAACCTTTTTGAAAAGGGTTCTGTATAACACCCAAAAGGGTCCTTCTATTGTTACACGCTTGACACCGCACATTCTTAAACAATGATGGTTCTTCAAAGGTTCTTTAATAAAGAAAATGGTTTTCAAAAAGGTTCTATATAAAACCATCGACAGCACGTTCTCCATCAATCTGAAGAACCATTTCATGATGCAAGCAACCATTCAATCATGCAGAAGGTTCTTGAGTGTTCATGGTTCTATATAAAACCATTTTCTTTACTAAAGAACCTTTGAAGCACCAACTTTTTATCAGTGTAGCCTTCACCCTCCAAGTGGTGTCCTGTGACTGGGTGGATGGAGTTGGACGTGACCAAACTGGGGAGAAAACTCAGTCATTTAGGGGGAGATTAAGGATGTTTCATATGTATTACACTGGGAAATCACACGGGTTACTCTGGACCAGGCTTGACCAGGCTTGGTTGTCACCAGGCCTGTGCTGTGCTGTGTCAATTGCACTGGCTTTGCATTATGAAATGTGTCATGACACGTTTTAGAATGCAGAGATGCGCAAAACTTGGAAGAGATGTGTTCAGCCTAAGAGAACAGAACCGCAGCACCAGTGGAACAAACTGCTTTGAGGAAACTACATGAAGCTAAATAGACTTATTTTTAAAATTTCTCTTCTTTCATTAAACTGGGCATCATAAATTATACATATTTCTGAATATTTCTGATATATTTCTGAAACTACATGCTTCCATACTGTTGTTCAGTCGTGATGTTGATTCCTGTGTGTGTGTGTGTGTGTAGCTGATGATGACTGTCGGTCTCCTGGCGGTCGTTGTGTATCTCTACACCGTCGTGGCCTTCAACTTCTTCCGCAAGTTCTACAACAAGAGTGAAGACGAGGACGAGCCGGATATGAAGTGTGACGACATGATGACCGTAAGTGACTGACCGCACTAGAGCCAGTTCAGTGGAGTCACACCCACTTTCTATTCTCTCTGTACCCTTCTGTTATACCAAACACATGACTCCAAAACTGTAGAGGGCACCCAAGAGTGAGTTCTTTACAGCTGAAAAGTACATTTATTAAGTGAAGTTTTTCTTTCATTTTGGAAATTAAACAGTTATTGAAAACTTACTAGGACGCTTCTGTTTTTCTACAGCAAACAGGTTTAGGACTAGGGATGCACTACGAAATCAGTATCAGCTGATAATCGCTTTCTTAAAAAGTCGCTTTTCTTAAGAGCTACAACTTTTCCAGCAAAGCTGATGGAGTTTATGGCTCGCGATGATCAGCTGTTCTCTGTTGTGGAGGATGTTGGGTTTTAACAGCTGCTCAAACATCTTGAGCCACGATAGGCCAAACACAGTCGCTGTTATTTTTCCAGTGTAGCTCGACTGAGTGACACAACATGGACTCATATTCACAAACTCCCTGAGGATGATGTGGCACCCGTTAGCTTTACCACGGACATCTGGACGTCTGAGGTGAATCCTGTGTGTATTCTCAGTTTAACCAACATACACGCAGCGTCATGTAGCCAAGACATAAAAACATGTATGTGTAAGATATTAGATATCGGTGTCTGTGTGCTGATTGGTTAGCATTACTGCTACTGAGTGCTGATTGGTCAGCATTACTGCTACTGAGTGCTGATTGGTCAGCATTACTGCTACTGAGTGCTGATTGGTTAGCATTACTGCTACTGAGTGCTGATTGGTCAGCGTTACTGCTACTGAGTGCTGATTGGTTAGCGTTACTGCTACTGAGTGCTGATTGGTTAGCGTTACTGCTACCGAGTGCTGATTGGTTAGCGTTACTGCTACTGAGTGCTGATTGGTCAGCGTTACTGCTACTGAGTGCTGATTGGTTAGCGTTACTGCTACCGAGTGCTGATTGGTCAGCGTTACTGCTACCGAGTGCTGATTGGTTAGCGTTACTGCTACTGAGTGCTGATTGGTCAGCGTTACTGCTACTGAGTGCTGATTGGTTAGCGTTACTGCTACTGAGTGCCGATTGGTTAGCGTTACTGCTACTGAGTGCTTTTTTAATGAGTATTTTTACATAGGATATGTAACATAATGTTGTAATTATCTCTCTCTCTCTCTCTCTGTCTCTCCCCCGCCCCTCTCAGTGTTACCTGTTCCACATGTACGTAGGTGTGAGGGCAGGTGGGGGTATAGGAGATGAGATTGAGGACCCTGCAGGTGATGAGTACGAGCTCTATCGCGTCGTTTTCGACATCACCTTCTTCTTCTTCGTCGTCGTCATCCTCCTCGCCATCATCCAGGGTGAACCTTTATTCTTTCACTCATTCACTCGTTCATTCACTGCTTATAATACAGTCTAGCAGCTCTAGCAGTTTATACACCATCGACATCATCAGCAAAATCAAAACAAGGTGATTCATGGGGTAAAAATTGTAGTCTAACTTCTTATTACAGAATTGTCTATTTATTTTAGGTGATACTTTTGATTTATTTTTTATTTATTTAGATTTATATTTAATTTAGCTTTATTGCTAAAAGTCAGGGAAGTCCAGGAATTCATTTCTGCACACATGCTTATTTAAAGTAGCTTTTATTGGAATATTACAATAATAATTATTATATTATAGTATTATTATATTTGACGCTGTATATTGAATATTTGCTGCAATGTAAGTAGACAGTACTTCCATCATCTCTCTGTAACAATGCACACATGAAAAGCTCAGCGTTCTGCTTACCAGCTTACACAATTGCAAAAGATCGTTCTTCAGAGGATCTTTAGTTAGGAGAAGGGTTCTGTTTAGAAACATTTGCATACATAGAGGGTTCTCTACATGGTGAAATGGTTCTTCAGATCTGTATAGAATCTTTTTAAAAAGTGGTTCTCTGTAGCACCAAAAAGGTTATGCTACAGTTCTGCTATTGATAGAATGTTCAGCTTGTAACAATAGAAGAACTTATATAGAACCATATACAACACATTCTCCATCAGTCTGAAGAACATCTAACCATGCAGAGAACCATTTAATCCTGAAATGATTCTTTATAAAAGGCATGGTTCTGAACAGAACAGTTCAATTTACTAAAGAACCTTTGAAGAACCATCTTTTTGATATTCTACTATAAGTGACAGCGTGTGTTTCATCTGTGCAGGTTTGATTATCGATGCGTTTGGTGAGCTGAGAGATCAGCAGGAGCAGGTGAAGGAGGATATGGAGGTAAACAAAGCAGAGCTTTAATCTGATCTTCATCTGAGGAGCACCGGACAACACAACACTCTAAATATTACCTGATTTACAGCTTCTAGAACTCTGGAAAGTCTAAAAGTGGCCTCCTGCACATATATTTCTATTTTTGACTGTAACTTGGTGATCGGGCTGCTCAATTATGGCGAAAATCCTAATCACGATTGTTTTGGTCAACATTAAGATCACGATTATTTAACCCGATTAATCACTGATTTTGGAAACATCAGGCACATGATACAAACCACAACCTACTCAAAACTACTAAACTTATAAAAAAAAATAAATAAAAGTGTCCTTTGGGTTTGTGAAAAGCACTATATAAATTAAACGTATTATTTAGAATAGAATTCAGAACCATTAGCCTACTGTGTTTTGCACACAGAGGAATTAGACCTCCGCATTTAACCCATCCGTGTAGTGAAACACCCACATACCTGCACACTAGTGAACACACATACTAGGGGGCAGTGAGCACACTTGCCCGGAGCGGTGGGCAGCTCTATCCACGGCGGCCGGGGAGCAATTGGGGGTTAGGTGCCTTGCTCAAGGGCACTTCAGTCACGTACTGTCAGCTGAGGGGATCGAACCAGCGACACAATGCTGGTTCCCCAACCTCCAGCCCACGACTGCCCCTAAATCAAACAGTTTGGGCTTTTAGGGAGGGGCGCTGTAAAGGAAAGAGGTGTGCTGGCTTTATAATACAAGACAAAATAAGAGCATCATTGGGAAACAGAATGATAATCGTTTTATCTTGATTGTCTTGTTTTGATAATCGTTGGAAGTGGATCAGACACAGCAGTGCTGCTGGAGTTTTTAAACACCTCAGTGTCACTGCTGGACTGAGAATAGTCCACCAACCAAAAATATCCAGCCAACAGCGTCCTGTGGGCAGCGTCCTGTGACCACTGATGAAGGACTAGAGGATGACCAACACAAACTGTGCAGCAGCAGATGAGCTATCGTCTCTGACTTTACATCTACAAGGTGGACTGACAAGGGTAGGAGTGTCTAATAGAGTGGACAGTGAGTGGACACAGTGTTTAAAACACTCCAGCAGCACTGCTGTGTCTGATCCACTCAGACCAGCACAACACACACTAACACGCCACCACCACGTCAGTGTTACTGCAGTGCTGAGAATGATCCACCACCCAAATAGTACCTGCTCTGTGAGGGTCCATGGGGGTCCTGACCACTGAAGAACAGGGTAACAAAGTATGCAGAGAAACAGATGGACTACAGTCTGTAACTGTAGAACTACAGAGTGAAACTATACGGTCAGTGGAGCTGATAAAGTGGACAGTGAGTGTAGAAACGAGGAGGTGGTTTATTGTTTATGGTCTGTTGGTGTTTATTCTTTACTACTGAAATCTCTCTCCAGACTAAATGCTTTATCTGTGGAATTGGGAGCGATTACTTCGACACGACTCCACACGGCTTTGAGACTCACACTTTAGAGGAACACAACTTGGCTAATTACCTGTGAGTGATTTACAGACCTTTTTTTCTTAAAAATAAAAGCAAACTCACATAAACACTCATTTTAAATGCGCTGTTTCTCTCCATCACAGATTCTTCCTGATGTATCTGATAAACAAGGATGAGACCGAACACACCGGTCAGGTAAAACTCATCATTACAGATTCATATTGTGTTTTTGAGAACTGACTTGATTTATGTATGTTTTTTGTTTTTGTTTTTGTTGTTTGTTTGTTTTTGCTTGTTTGGCATTTTTTCAGTAGAAATAAGAAGACAGTAGAACAACAAACAAGGAAAACATTGCAGTAGAAAGTAATGACAGAAAAACAGTAGATCTATTAAGTGTGTAAGGAAGGCACATAGAGGGTAACTACACTTTTAAGGTCAATCTGAAACAGTGAAATGGTGTTTACACGTGAACACTTTCCATCTGATGGATGTCTGTTTCATGATTCCTGCAGATCCTTAAAGAGTCTTATAAAGTCATATAATAGATTTGAACATTTAAAATGTCTTTATTTTTGCTGTTAAAGGTGTTAAATTTAGGGATGGACAGTTTGTAAGGGATTGGTTATTGGCTAACTGGTCACTATGCCAAATGGTCACTATGCCAGAGTATGCAATCATAGTGCCATAAATTTGTGCCGTGTCTTGGCAAGTTCATACATTATATGGACAAAAGTATTGGGACAAACCTCTTAATCATTGAATTCAGGTGTTTCAGTCTCATGAAATTTCCTCCCTCCTAGATTTTCCACGATCAGCTGTGAGTGTATTATTGAGAATTGGAAGCGTTTAGGAATCACAGCAACTCAGCCACCAAGTGTCAGACCACGTAAAGTTACAGAGCGAGTCGCCGAGTGCTGAGGAGCATAGAGCATAAAAGTCTATGCTGATCAATAACTAGAAGTCCAAACCTCCTCTGGCAGCAACATCAGCACAGAAACCGCGCCGGGAGCTTCATGGCAGGGTTTCCATGTCTGAGCAGCTGCATGCAGCCTTACATCACCAAGCACAACCCCCAATGTTGGACGGAATGGTGTAAAGCACCACCACTGGACTCTGGAGCAGTGGAAACGTATACTGTGGAGTGACCAATCAGCTTCTCTATCTGTCAGTCTGATGGACGAGTCTGGGTTTGGCGAATGCCAGGAGAACGTTACCTGCCTGACTGCACTGTGCCAGCTGTAGAGTTTGGTGGAGGAGGGATGATGATATGGGGCTGTTTTTCAGGGGTTGGTCTAGAACCCTTAGTTCCAGTGAAGGGGAATCTTAATGCTTCAGCAGAACAAGACATTTTGGACGATTGTACACTTCCAACTTTGTGGAACAGTTTGGGGAAGAACCTTTCCTGTTCCAGCATGACTGAGCCCCAGTGCACAAAGCAGCTCCATAAAGGCCTGACTGGGTGAGTTTGGTGTGGAAGAACTTGACTGGCCCTCACAGAGCCCTGACCTCAACCCCATTAAACACCTTTGGGATGAACTAGAACAGAGATTGTGAGCCAGACCCTCTCGTCCAACATCAGTGTCTGACCTCACAAATGCTCTTCTGGATGAATGGGCAGAAATTCCCACAGACTCTCCAACATCTTGTAGAAGCTTCCCAGAAGAGTGGAAGCTGTTAGAGCTGCAAAGGGGAACCAAGTCCATATTAATGCCTATGGATTTAGAATCGGAGTCACAAAAGCTCCTGTAGCTGTCCCAATACTTTTGTCCATATAGTGTAGGTCATCAGGGAGGCAGGTTAAGAAGCTCCCAATTAAAAGCGCTGTGTGTGATGCTGGCAGTGTGTTCTGAAAAGAAAAGAGAGAAAAAGTGATTGTGGAGCCGTTCCTGGGTGTCAGAAGAGGACAGTGTAGACTGACTGTCCTTTAAAGAGAATTTGAGGTAACGAATATCAAGAACATTATATAAATGCAGCCAGCAGGTTTGCTGTACGTAAACAGACTGTTCCAACCAACATCTTTTCAGACTCTGTCGTGGTTCTCCCTCAAGGAGATGCCAGAAAGGCAGGGGGTTCTGCTGCCACAGCTCAGAGAACCTTTCCCCTTTTGTTGTTCGTGTCGTTCTTTCTCTTCACTGTGTTTACAGATGTGCGTCAGAGAGCGCTCTGTCATCCTGTTGGTTAACTTCAAGGAATGTGTCGTAGGAATAGGCAGGAAAATACCAAAAATTCTGACATACTAGACTTCTTGTCTGGATGTTGTCTGGTGTGCCAGACGCCAAATCACTGTTCTCTGATTGTCACACTACACAGCCTGTTCCGCATTCCCGAAGCTCACATTCAGGCCCAACGCTGGAAATTTGTCAGCTGCGCCAAAATCCTGACAAAACCGGACTGAGTTTGTGCAGTTTGATCCCAGCATATACCCGACCTGGTTTGTTTATTGTTATTATTAATCTCCCGTTATTCTCTCTCTCTGTTTGTTTTAGGAGTCGTATGTGTGGAAGATGTATCAGGAGCGCTGCTGGGACTTCTTCCCCGCCGGAGACTGTTTCAGAAAGCAGTACGAGGATCAGCTGGGATAACCGTCAGGAGTCTGTAACTCACCACACACAGGGTTCCTACACAGCATGGAAAACTGTGGAGTTTGATTTGGTTTCCAGGTCTGGATAAGTATGGAAAAGAGAAAAGAGAGTATGGAAAAATATGCTACTGTATTCTGTTCTCCAAAATATAAAACTCTGAATTTTTAAAGATAAATTGATCATACACAGTGTTTTTGGCGAGCACAGCTAAACTGTGAGAGAGCTCAGTGTTGTTGAAAGCAGAGCAAGAAGTGTCGTATAGCCTGCAGTCAGCTCTGAACCAAGTGCCTTACAGTCAGGGCTGGGATGTAACGGGAGATAAGTATTGGAAATATTTATTCAGAATACAGAAATAAAGCATCTGTATTCAGTCCAAGGTACATTTTGTAAAGGCCGTATTCAGAATACAGTTACTTTTTACATTTGTAGGCAAATTAATTTAGAATACTTACCCAGTAAGTATAAACATATATAACATATATTTAATATTTAAGAGAAACACCATCAATCATTGTTTATTAACTATTTTAATATCAGTGCACGGCGTGTAAAGACTCGCTCTAAAGATGAACGACTTCTTTAGAAAGTTCCTAAAGCCTGAGTGAACTGATAAACCACTGTGATGAGCCAGTGCAAGATTTTGTTGTTGGAAGACGGAAAATTGCTTAGTTTATGAGACGGCATGAGACATTCATGGGAGCAGCTGTGGACTGAATCAGCGATGAGAGATAAAATAATGTTGAGAATTTCGCAACTTCATTTAAAATAAGTACATTTTTATGAAACATTAACATAAGAATTATATGAAAACAGCCAATCAGTTACAGCGAGGAACAGTGTGAATTAAATAAAAATTACGATTAGTTTTTTCCAGTGTGCCTTATGAATATGTATTCTAAGTGTATTCTGAATACTTTACGTCTTTATTTATTGACAGTGTACTCAGTGTTCAGCCATCACTACTTTTTCAGTGTTCTGCCCAAACCTGTTTATGACTGCACCAAATCCAGAAATACACAACCAAATTAGTTGGAAAGAAAATGCAGCAATATCTTTAAATTGTGTATTTACACACCTAATATCACAAATAACCAAGTGTTAAGCTTGTCTGAATATTTATGAGTTATGCAGTGATGCAGTTATCAGAAACGTAACTTTTTTCCACTAACTTTTGGTTCTTAATCATAGAAGAGATTAAATATGGAGGAACAATAATATAACGTTATTTATTCACTGTTATGGGAAAATAATACGAGTACAGGCAGCACTGGTTAGTTTCCATCCTCTTTGTGCAGAGATGTTTGACAGCGGAACACCGTCCAGCTTTCTGTGCAGCAAGTTTTCCGAGGGCCGGTAAAGCTCTGGACATTTGAGTGTGGAAATGTATGGAATTCTGAAATGGAAAGTGTGTAGGAATCCTGATCAGAGTCAATTCTGTAATAACTGTTTTAATAACTCTACTTTCAGTTCTACATGAGAGCGAGTTTGCTTTCCCAGGAGATGACGGCGATTAGTGACATATTATTGTTTTATTTAGATGAATTTGTTTGTTTTCTCATGTCATTGACAGCATTTACAGGCAGAGCCGTGTCACCTTTTCAGAAGTGCAGTGTCCTGTAGTGCCTGTAGGGGGCAGACTTCAGCTGCTGATCCTCCACAAACTGTAAACTTCTGACAGTCATTTTATTTAATAAATGATGTTCTGCAAACACGTCTGTGGGAAATTCCTCACTGTTTGTTTCAGTATTGGAGCTGTGTGACATTGAGGAAGGCAGTAAAGTGATTTATTAGCTAGAACATCACTACAATAATATAAAAATGGATTTATGTAATTCCGTTGTGCTGTCAAACATGATCCATTCTAGCGTATCACACCGTCATCATCAGGAAAAATCACAACAAGGTGCAGTCAGGCTTTATATCATAGACCTGTGTGTTTAATTTCTGATGATACTTTTGATTTACTGAGATTCATGATTGATTTAGGTTTATTGCTGAATGTGATGGAGTTAATTTTGATGATATTTCATGCTTATTTAAAGTAACTTTTTGTCTTATATTGCAATATTATATGTATTATTATCATATTATACTATCAGCTGATTATATTTGACACTGAATATTGGTTTTTGATGCTGGATATTAAATATTATCTGTAATATAACTCAGTTTAGACAGTTCCTCCATCGTCTGTCTGTAATGATGCACACGTGAAGAGCCCATTGTTTTTATTACTAATGCACAAAATCTTCTTTTTAATCTGCTCCTCTACACGACGGTGTCTGTTTTGTCTGTGCAGGTTTGATTATCGATCAGATTTAGATATCTCTGTGCAGCCAATCCAGTACAGTGGGAGGGGCTTGTGCTGTGGACCCACACTGAAATGACTGGACTTTTTTCCTGAGGAGCTCAAAAATCCTTGGGGTTTATTTTGTCATTTTGCTGAAATAGTTCTGTTGGAGAACTTCATCGGAACCAATTGTGTAGAACCAGATTAGAACTCTGTAGAACCTAAAACATTTTAACATCAAAACTTTGATCTAATCTTGACTCTAATCTGCACTCTTAAAAGAGATGGCACTTCAATGGTTCTATATAGAACCATGAACACTTAAAGAACTATTTGCATTGTGAAATGGTTCTCTGCATGGTGAAATGGTTCTTCAGATTGGTGGAGAATGTATTGTATATGGTTCTATATTGTGCCAAAAAAGGGTTCTGCTACTGGTACAAGCTTGACATCATAACAATAGCAGAACCCTTTTGGGTGCTGTATAGAACCAATACATTCTACATCAATCTGAAGATCCATTTCACCATGCAGAGAACCATTTAAGCATGCAGATGGTTCTTTGAGTGTTCATGGTTCTTTATAGAACACTTGAAGAACCATCTTTTTAAGAGTGTGCAGAATCATTAGAGTGGAAAATCATATTTAATCTGAAAATGTATAAAATGACTAATGTGAGAGAAAAATTACAACATGCTGGAAATGATACGAACTCTATAGACTCCTACGCTCAGTCGTGCTCTGTACACTCATCTCTAAAGCTGGTATTATCATTATATTTAAAAAAAAACTCAGAACAGTTTAGTTTTTATTTGTATTTTATTAATTACTTGAGTAACAAACAAAACATTTTCAAAGGTAATTTTGCAGAACTGTGACTCAGCTTTAGAAAATAACTATTAGAAGCACTAGAAAAAATAATGTGAGACTGTGTTGTATGTGGTTCTATATAGCACCAAAAAGGGTTCTGCTATTGTTACAAGCTTGACATTTATTGGTGCTTTATAGAACCAACATATTCTTCATGAATATGAAGAATTATTTCACCATGCAGAGAACCATTTAAGCATGCAAATAGTTCTTTGAGTGTTCATGGTTCTATATAGAGCCCTTGTCTATATATACAGAATCATCAGAATGAAAAAACATATTAAACCTGAAATTTTTACCACCAATAATGTGAAACAGGCGTTTAAAGCAGCGTCATACAAACAGCAGCACGTCACGAGAACACGTGTCTGCATTTCACGGACAAACACTGTTTTATTTGTGTGCAAACGGACATATTTACGAAAACACTGAACGTGTAAATCTGCATAATAATTAGCGCTGCTTGTTGCATCTGTTTTGTTTATTTTGACGGTAGATGGTCTGTAGATGCTCAGCGTGTCTTTAAGTAACTAAATATTTATGAAGTGCAGCTGACTTTGAAGTCGAGTATGAAATCTTCTATTAAATTGAACCTTAAACCTAACCCCAACCTTAGAGGAGATTTATCAAAATGTTTACATGACTCAGTCATTACGATGTAAATTAAGTCATTCCGACTTCTGATGTGAAGTGCATCGTTCTAAAGAAACCTACAGAGCCAGAATTTCTCAGAATGGTGGTGATAGGAACCAGACGTCTGAGGCGTTTAGCGCATGTAAGAGCTACATCACAGAAAGTTCTTACATGAAATGGTAACGAATGTGCTGAGACGCTGTTTTACTGTAGTTTTCCTGAAAGGTTTTGGCCAAAAACACAATTTTTAAACTCCATTCATGGTGGAGGGATACATGCAGGGCGCTGTGAGGCAAAATAGTCCCCGAAGAAAACTTATTATTTCAGATTTTCCACTATTTTCCATCATCAACATTCCATATAAACTCAGAAGACTCGTGTAGGTTCACTGGTGGTTCTGGATAGTAAATAAAATGTCTATATTTGTGTTGTAGTCATGGCGACCCCTGGTTCCTATCACCACCACTGTAAAGACATCTGAACCATTTCACACCAAACCAATCTGAACCACTCTGTTTACATCTCACACACTGAGTTATGGAGGAATTTTGGAAAAAAGGTGGAGTCCCCCTTTAACTTCAACCCTAAACTTACACAAACATTAAGTACGTGTAGATCATCTATAAGGGGCCGTTCAAATAAAATGTAACCTTTCCATTAACTGCTGTTATTTGTAGGCCTCAGTCAGCTGGACTCGGCTGCAGCCCTGACCGTTCAGAGATGCTGGACAGAGCGGAGCGGGCAGTGGTAGTTTAATGAGGGCTGAATTTGCTGTTGCCCAACGAAACCCCTGTGAAGACCACCAGGGCAAACAGTACTAAACAAGCAACTTTCATTCTTGCTGTCGACACTTATTTGAGAAATCCATCACTGTCCAGCTCGTCCAGCAGAAAAACATTTATTCTTTAGCGATACTCAGTTTTTGAGTTCCTGGCTTTTTCATCCATACGCAAAATTCATATAAAGAGTTCAACAGAAAATCAGTAATGGGGTTTTCAGTGAATGTAAACTCTCACTCTGATTGTACTCTGGACAGTAATCAGTGGATGAAACTCCCTCAGACTAAAATATTCTCTAATGTCTTCTTATTGCACAAACTAGAGCTGGACGATATGACAGTATGATACTGTTATTGAGATAAATTCATCACAATACTCTTTTCTGAGTATGTAATGGTTAACTGTAAACAACAACCAGCATAGAGTGACTGTGCAAACTGGATATATACTGTTCCCTTTTTCCATTTTTCATTCTAAATATTTTGGCCAGCATCAGAAAAAAAGAAATATTATGATTATGTGCATTATGAAAAAAGCATTATGATAAAAAATGCTTGCATCATAAAGACAGATTTAGAACAATCATGAAGAGCCTGTAAACGGTAAACAACAACCAGCATAGAGTAACTGTACAAATAGCAAAGTAACATTGGATAGCTGCCCATTATGACACACACACACACACACACACACGTATGTATATATAGATAGCTACATAGATAGATGTTCCTCTTTTTCATTCTTAAATGTTTTTCCAGCATTTTTTTCAACTTCACACATCACAAAAAAGAAATGTCATGATATAAAAAGCATCATGTTAATTAAATACAGTAAATAAACGTATAGATCATAAAGACAGATTTAGACCAATTATAAAGATCCTGTACTTTATAAGATAACTGTATAAACTGCAAAATAACGTAGCTGATTGAATAGCTGCCCATTATATCAATAAACTGATGTATTTATATATTTTTTTGTTCTTTTATTTTTTTATTATTCTATTTCTTTTTTCCTTCTTAAATGGTTTCTTTCTTTAATTCATGTTTTTTCACCATTTTGTCCAACTTCAGAAAAAAACAGAAAAAAGAGCTATCATGATATGTGCATCGCCAAAAGTATCACCATGTTAAATCCTTGCCGTATCGCTCACCCTCATCACGAGCAGTGAAGCGATTCGCTCTGATGTCAGCGGCTCCACCTGCGCTGAGAAAAGGCCATCCGTCCAGTCTCCTGTCATCTTTCGGCCTCTGCTATATTTGATTCCTCATGTTTTGCGTATTAAGTGAGTGATTTATTTGCAGTGATCAGCTGTTGCGACGCGGGCTGCAGGGTTACAGCACGCTGGGGGCGGCGGGCGTGGCCTGGGTGGTCTCGGCTGGGGCCGGCAGGGTGGAGGCGGAGGAGTAGCTGTGCATGGGCTGGTAATCGGTGGAAACGTCGGTCAGGCTGGACAGAGAGTTGTCGCTGTCAGAGCTGCTCTGAGAAACCAGCCTGTACTCCCGAACTGGACAGGTGCGCTCGGTGAAGTTGGGCTTAAATCCGTCCTGCAGCTCTTTGGAGATGCTCAGCCAGTTCTGCAGGAGAAGAGAGTGAAAAAGAGATGAGGGAAATATAATAATAATAATACTAATACTAATAATATCTTTATTTATAGAGCACTTTTCAGTGTTTTACAGTTAGCTGATAATGTTTAACAGTAACAGAAGAAACTATGAGTATTGATATAAAATCATATAAGTCAATAACAGATCAGATGAGCCGTAGAGTTTTACTGAAGCTCTGAGTTAAAGAGCCGTAGAGTTTTAATGAAGCTCTGAGTTAAAGAGCCGTAGAGTTTTACTGAAGCTCTGAGTTAAAGAGTCGTAGAGTTTTACTGAAGCTCTGAGTTAAAGAGTCGTAGAGTTTTACTGAAGCTCAGAGTTAAAGAGCCGTAGAGTTTAATGAAGCTCTGAGTTAAAGAGTCGTAGAGTTTTACTGAAGCTCAGAGTTAAAGAGCCGTAGAGTTTAATGAAGCTCTGAGTTAAAGAGTCGTAGAGTTTAATGAAGCTCTGAGTTAAAGAGTCGTAGAGTTTAATGAAGCTCTGAGTTAAAGAGCCGTAGAGTTTAATGAAGCTCTGAGTTAAAGAGTCGTAGAGTTTAATGAAGCTCTGAGTTAAAGAGTCGTAGAGTTTTAATGAAGCTCTGAGTTAAAGAGTCGTAGAGTTTAATGAAGCTCTGAGTTAAAGAGTCGTAGAGTTTAATGAAGCTCTGAGTTAAAGAGTCGTAGAGTTTAATGAAGCTCTGAGTTAAAGAGCCGTAGAGTTTACTGAAGCTCTGAGTTAAAGAGTCGTAGAGTTTAATGAAGCTCTGAGTTAAAGAGTCGTAGAGTTTTACTGAAGCTCTGAGTTAAAGAGTCGTAGAGTTTAATGAAGCTCTGAGTTAAAGAGTCGTAGAGTTTAATGAAGCTCTGAGTTAAAGAGTCGTAGAGTTTAATGAAGCTCTGAGTTAAAGAGTCGTAGAGTTTAATGAAGCTCTGAGTTAAAGAGTCGTAGAGTTTTACTGAAGCTCTGAGTTAAAGAGTCGTAGAGTTTAATGAAGCTCTGAGTTAAAGAGTCGTAGAGTTTACTGAAGCTCTGAGTTAAAGAGCCGTAGAGTTTTACTGAAGCTCTGAGTTAAAGAGTCGTAGAGTTTTACTGAAGCTCTGAGTTAAAGAGTCGTAGAGTTTTAATGAAGCTCTGAGTTAAAGAGTCGTAGAGTTTTACTGAAGCTCTGAGTTAAAGAGTCGTAGAGTTTAATGAAGCTCTGAGTTAAAGAGCCGTAGAGTTTTACTGAAGCTCTGAGTTAAAGAGTCGTAGAGTTTAATGAAGCTCTGAGTTAAAGAGTCGTAGAGTTTTACTGAAGCTCTGAGTTAAAGAGTCGTAGAGTTTAATGAAGCTCTGAGTTAAAGAGTCGTAGAGTTTTACTGAAGCTCTGAGTTAAAGAGTCGTAGAGTTTAATGAAGCTCTGAGTTAAAGAGTCGTAGAGTTTAATGAAGCTCTGAGTTAAAGAGTCGTAGAGTTTACTGAAGCTCTGAGTTAAAGAGTCGTAGAGTTTAATGAAGCTCTGAGTTAAGGAGTCGTAGAGTTTAATGAAGCTCTGAGTTAAAGAGTCGTAGAGTTTTACTGAAGCTCTGAGTTAAAGAGTCGTAGAGTTTAATGAAGCTCTGAGTTAAAGAGTCGTAGAGTTTTACTGAAGCTCTGAGTTAAAGAGTCGTAGAGTTTAATGAAGCTCTGAGTTAAAGAGTCGTAGAGTTTTACTGAAGCTTTGAGTTAAAGAGTCGTAGAGTTTAATGAAGCTCTGAGTTAAAGAGTCGTAGAGTTTTACTGAAGCTCTGAGTTAAAGAGTCGTAGAGTTTTACTGAAGCTCTGAGTTAAAGAGTCGTAGAGTTTTACTGAAGCTCTGAGTTAAAGAGTCGTAGAGTTTAATGAAGCTCTGAGTTAAAGAGTCGTAGAGTTTAATGAAGCTCTGAGTTAAAGAGTCGTAGAGTTTTACTGAAGCTCTGAGTTAAAGAGTCGTAGAGTTTTACTGAAGCTCTGAGTTAAAGAGTCGTAGAGTTTTACTGAAGCTCCGAGTTAAAGAGTCGTAGAGTTTAATGAAGCTCTGAGTTAAAGAGTCGTAGAGTTTAATGAAGCTCTGAGTTAAAGAGTCGTAGAGTTTAATGAAGCTCTGAGTTAAAGAGTCGTAGAGTTTAATGAAGCTCTGAGTTAAAGAGTCGTAGAGTTTAATGAAGCTCTGAGTTAAAGAGCCGTAGAGTTTAATGAAGCTCTGAGTTAAAGAGTCGTAGAGTTTTACTGAAGCTCTGAGTTAAAGAGCTGCGTTTTCAGATGTTTATTAAAAGTGAGCTCTGAGCTCGACTGTCTAATAAAAGCTGAACTGAGCTCCACAGTGTAGAAGCAGAATAACTGAAAGAGTCTCTCCACGTTTTCTGTGTTTTACTGAAGGAGTTCAGAAGGTCAGAATCTGCAGATCTAAGAAAGAACAAAATCCACAGTACACAGTCGAATGCGAAAGTTTTAACACCCCTGGTCAAATGACATGTTGTTGTTGATTTTCAAAGTGTACACACTTCTGCACATTTTAATACACAATTTCTGTTTATTTGCTGAGTTTACCCTCCTGGGAAAAAATATAAATATAAAACATGCCATATTTTATCTTGTATAGTTTCTATATATTAAACAGTAGAATAAGTTCTCACTTAGAATATGAACAACATGGAATTTCTTTTTTTGTGACCATAGTTTGTATTTATTTTATCTGTGTTAACAGCAGACATTACAGAACTATGTACACTGCCAGGGCCTGCCACTAGGGGGGTTGGGTGGCAACAATAATAATAACAGTAAACTGAAAAAAGAAGCTATATAGTTAACAAGGTTAAACAAAAAGTAGATATCAAGAAAAGCTCAAATACGCCCCGGTCTAAAATATTTGAGAAAGGTTATGATGACCTAATATATATATAGTTGCTGTGGTCAGAACAAAATCTCATATTACCATTTTTGTCGTTTGTGATTTTTTTTTTTTGTCGTTCATAATTTGAAAAAGCCTGTTGTTCTTTACATTGTGTGTAAATTTCATGATGAATGGACCAAAAGAAACAGCCCAAAATGACTTGGGTAAATGTCTGGTTCCACTGACTTACATTAAAAGTAAAGCATGTTTTTTCCTTCTCCATTTTGGAGATACAAGGTTTTATTCCGACAGCAATATATAAATTTTGGCATATATATGTATATATATATATATATATATATATATATATAGTTGCCAAAATGTGAATAGAGCCGTGTGCCATGCGCAGTGTAGTTGGTTTCATTTTCATGTTCATTTTCTTTTTCTTTCCCCAGAAGCTTTCAGTGAGTGAAAAGTCATCATTTCATGGAATTGATGTAGAACCTGTTGGTTTCTGTGCACTGGGAGCGAAACATCACAAGTGGCAATCATTGGGGTCCATGCACTACATGCCTTGTGCAGCCAGTAGAACACAAATGATGGGCTGTGAACTAAATAATTGCACAGTAATGAGCCCTGTATCTATTCTCAGAGTGCAGCAGAGTTTTCTATTAAAATCACTATGAGCGACGCTGCCACATCTGCTACAGGAGCTTTAGTTTCTGAACTTGGGAGGAAAGATTATATTGCAATATTCTGGCCAAAAAAGTATTGTTACATAGACGCTCAGGTTTTGGTGTTTAATATTTACCATATAAGTGCACTTTACAGTTCTGCAATTACTGTGGGGGTCCTGACCATTGAAGATCAAGGTAACAAAGTATGCAGAGAAACAGATGGACTACAGTCTGTAACTGTAGAACTACACAGTGGAACTATATGGTCAGTGGAGCTGATAAAATGGACAGAATGTAGAAACAAGGAGGTGGACGTAATGCAGTGTCCAGTCAGTATAAATGGCAGTAGGTCTCTGCAGAGTATGCAGAGAAACAAACTCTCACGCCTAATAGCAGGATGAAAAATATAAAGGATAACAAAAAAATAAATAAGTGATTAAACAAGCTTGTTTTTAAATGATAAAAAGGTGCCCACGTATTAATCACAAGGTTCAAAGCAAAGAAAACAGAAGAAAGTTCAGAAACTAAAGAGACACAGAAAAAACAAATGAGCTGAGCTGAGATAAGGATTCTCAACATGTGTGAAAGTCTTAATCTTAATCATAATCTTAATCTGCCTGAGCCTTGCAGCAGAGCTTAACACGAAGGGAAACTTTCCCAGTGTAAGATAAGCTGGCTGACATAAACAGGAAGTGAGTTACCTCCACATTTCCGTCATAGTTGTCAAGAAGTTCTGCAAAGTTTTTGCCGGCGTTGGGGACCACGGGGACGAGGATGACCCTCAGCCTGAGAACAACAGAGCACACATTGACACTCTACTCACTGTGACTGTTAACAGACAGGAGTCTGACTTACTGAGTGAACACAGACAAGTGTGTGACTCAGATATTTAAGAGAATATGACGTATTAACTAAAGGAAAAACAAAAAATAAATATATATTTATAGTAGAGCTAGGTGATATGGCAAAAATATAATATTGCGGTACATAAGGAAATTTGTATAATACACAATATTTTTTCAGACATCTGATCAGCTGGAACAGAGAAAAAAGTCAGCAGTGCTACACTTTAAAAGTCTATCAAAAACTGATTTTTATTCAGTACTTGTCACTAAATCCACTAATTTTCTCTCTATATAATGAAACATGCAGTTGTCAGTGTCTACAAGTACTGACGATACACACAATATAATCAGAAGCTAGACCTAGACCTATGCCCAGACCTAATATATAAGCTCAAATCCAGCAGCACTGCTGTGTCTGATCCACTCATACCAGCACAGCACACACTAACACACGTGTAGAAGTTGCCGGAAGAAAACCTTGTATCTCCATTTTTTGTCGTTTTTCAGTTTTTGACATAATGTGAAAATACCTATTGCTTTACATTGTGTATAAATGTCACGATGAATGGTCCAAAAGAAACGACCCCAAAATGACTTGGAAAAAATTCTGGTTCCATTGACTTACATTAAAAGTAGAGTAGGTTTTGTCCTTCTCCTGTAAAGTTACTATTTTGGAGATACGAGGTTTTGTTCCGACAACAGCAATATGTGTATATATATATATATATATATATATATGTGTGTGTGTGTGTGTGTGTGTGTGTGTGTGTATGTGTGTGTGTGTGTGTGTGTGTGTGTGTGTGTGTGTGTATGTGTGTGTGTGTGTGTATGTGTGTATGTGTGTGTGTGTGTGTGTGTGTATGTGTGTGTGTGTGTGTGTATGTGTGTGTGTGTGTGTGTGTGTGTGTATGTGTGTGTGTGTGTGTGTGTGTGTGTGTGTGTGTGTGTGTGTGTATGTGTGTGTGTGTGTGTGTGGAAAAATGGAAAAATGGTACTTTGGCTTGTAAAACTAGAGGAACCCTTTTTGGTGCTTGACAGAACCATCTACAGCACATTCTCCATCAGTGTTTATGGTCCTATATAGAACCATTTTCTTTCCTAAAAACCCTTGAAGAACCTTTTTTTAAATACACACACACACACACACACACTGATGGATGCTGATGGATAACGAGCGTGTTTTATAGTTTTGTAAGCTTGTTTTTGATCTTTATTCATGACATCTAACCTGACAGTCGACTATTCTGAAAACATAAAATCTGAATTAATAAAGTTTTATTCCTGTAAAGGCGTTTTTTGCTCTCAGTAGTGTTTACAGTGCTGTGATTGGTTAAAGCCGATCAGCTGATTAATAAACCCACACACCTCTCGCTGTGGACAAGCAGACAGGACAGTATGATGAGGACCACAGCAGCTCCGGCCGTGTACAGAACCATCAGAGCGGCCGAAGAACCGGAGCGCGTCTCTGGAACACACAACCCAAACAAAAACGCTGTCTGTCATCTTTACTGCTTACTCAACACAAAACCTTCAGCAAGCGTCTCACAAATATTAATACAATTATTTAAACTATTCATTTACAACAGTCACTTCTCTGCTAAACTGGGGATGGAGCAGAAGAACACAACATGCAGGACAGTGGAACCGCAGAACCAGGACTGAGAACCACCAGTTTAATGGATTAATCTGTTGGTATAAAGGGGTTAATCTGGTAGGGTTTCAAGATGTTTGGTATTAATCTGTTATTTTAGGAGGTTAATCTGTTATCATAAAGAGTTAATCTGTCAGTGGTTAATCTGTTAAGAGTTAATCTGTTAATTTAAGGGTTTAATCTTTCAGTGGTTAATCTGTTATTTTAAGGGGTTAATCTGTAAAGGGTTAATCTGCTAGTGGTTAATCTTAGTTTAAGGGGTCAATCTATTAGTGGTTAATATGTTATCATAAAGGGTTAATCTGTCAGTGGTTAATCTGTTAATTTAAGGGGTTAATCTGTCAGTGGTTAATCTGTTAAGAGTTAATCTGTTAATTTAAGGGGTTAATCTTTCAGTGGTTAATTTGTTATTTTAAGGGGTTAATCTGTCAGTGGTTAATCTGTTAAGAGTTAATCTGTTAATTTAAGGGGTTAATCTTTCAGTGGTTAATCTGTTATTTTAAGAGGTTAATCTGTTAGTGGTTAATCTGTTAGTTTAAGGGGTTAATGTGTTATTGGTTATTCTGTCATTTAATGGGGTTAATCTGTCAGTAGTTAATTTGTTAGGAGTTAATCTGTTAGTTTAAGGGGTTGATCTGTAAAGGGTTAAATTGTCAGGGGTTAATCTGTTAGTTGAATGGGTTTATCTGTCAGCGGTTAATCTGTTAGTTTAAGGGGTTAATCTGTTAGTGGTTAATCTGTTAGTTTAAGGGGTTAATCTGTTAGTGGTTAATCTGTTAGTTTCAGGGGTTAATCCATCAGTGGTTAATCTTAGTTTAAGGGGTCAATCGTAGTTTCAGGGGTTAATCCATCAGTGGTTAATCTTAGTTTAAGGGGTCAATCGTAGTTTCAGGGGTTAATCTATCAGTGGTTAATCTGTTAGTTTAAGGGGTTAATCTGTCAGTGGTTAATCTTAGTTTAAGGGGTCAGTCTGTTAGTGGATAATCTGCTAGTTTAAGGAGTTAATCTGTTAGTGGTTAATCTGTTAGTTTCTGTTAGATTCTGATTCTGTTAGTGGTTATTCTGTCAGTTTAAGGGGTTAATCTTTCATTAGTTAATCTGTTATTTTAAAGTTTAATCTGTAAGGCGTTAGTCTGTCAGGGGTTTATCTGTTAGTTAAAGCACTTAGTTTGTTAGCGCTTAAATTGTTATTTTTAGAGGTTAACCTGTTATTTAAAGTTAGTCTGTTGGGGTTAATCTGTCAGATTAAGAGGTTAATTTGTTAGTTGAAGGAGTTAATCTGTTAGAGGTTAATCTATTACAGGTTAATCTGTGTCAAACTTTTTAATCTTTGTTGAACCTTATTCTCAAGGTTTCTTCCTCTTGCTCTTGGGGAGTTTTTAGGCAACGCTCACGGTGGATTTTTCTGTAAAGCTGCTTTGTGGCAACACCTGTTGTAAAAAATATTTATAAGTAAACTTTGACTTGATTTAAGGGGTTAATCTGTTAGTTTAAGGGGTTAATCTGTCAGTGGTTAATTGTTATTTTAAGGGGTTAATCTGTGAGTTTAAAGGGTTCATCTGTTAGGCGTTGATCTGTAAGTAGTTAATCTGTTATTTTAAGAGGCTAATCTGTTGGTTTAAGGACTTAATCTATTTAAGGGATTAATCTGTTAGGAATTAATCTGTTATTGTAAGGAGTTAATCTGTTTAGGGGGTTAATCTGTTTAGGAAGTTAATCTGTTAGGAGTTACTCAGTTTAAAAGCCAGTATTCATGATGGTGTAGGGGGCATTAGTGCACATGGCATGGGTGACGTGCTCATCTGTGAAGGCACCATTAATGCTGAATAATATATACATGTTTTGGCAACATATGCTGCCATCCAGACGACGTCTTTTTCAGGGAAGGTCTTGATTATTTCAGCAAGGCAATGTAAAACCACATTCTGCATGTATTACAACAGCATTGCTCTGTATTAAAAGAGTCCAGGTGCTGAACTGACCTGCCTGCAGTCCAGACCGGTCACCACTGAAAACATCTGACACATTATGAAATCCTGTATCAAACAAGAATCAGAAAACAGCAGTGTCTCCTCAGTTCCCAAACACTTACAGATGAAACATAGTGGTAAACAGACCCTGTCCAAACTATTTTGGAATGTGTTTTTGGCATCCAATTCAAAATGGGCATATATTTTTCAAAAAACAATAAAATTTCTCAGTTTCAACATTTGATATGTTGTCTTTGTACTATTTTCCTTTAAAAATATGGTTTACATGATTTGCATCATTGCATCCTATTTTTATTTACATTCTGCACAGCTTCCAAACTTTTTTGGAAATGGTGTTGTAATTTACAGTTACTGTTTATTTGTTGAATTTAACATATTGTTGAAAAAAATGTTTTATGTTGAAAAAACATAAAACATAAAATATGTTATATTCAGTAAATAAACAGTAATCCCAAATTAAAATGTGTTAATGAGTTAAAGAGGACCTGTTATGCTCATCAGCATGCTCATAATTTTATTGTTGGGCTCTACTAGAGTAGATTTACACCTACACTATTCCTCTCATACTGTTCATCTCTATTCTCCCTCTGTCTGAAACGCTCTTTGAGAGCTCCTGTGTCTTTAAGCCCTACTGATGAGCCCAGTGTGCTCTGATTGGTCAGCTCTCCCACTCTGTTCTGGTCAGTCAGCCTCCAGGGCGGTTCCGCCCCTCCAGGTTCCGCCCCTGTCCTGCAGTCTGCAGACAAAGCCTTCTCTCCTGAGCAGCTGTAACTTAAGCAGCTGTGGCTGTTTCTCCAGCAGCGTCGGTTCTGCCGGATCAGTTTGATCCAGAGCGGATCCTGAAAGTCTGGTCAGCGTCTCTCCACACGCTACAGCACTGAACACACTCTTCTTCCTCCAATAGCCGCTGTGTGCTGTGTCAGGGAGCCGAGCTTGCCGGTAGGCGGGCAGTAAGGACTGTGTTATGAGATGACGTCATCCTGTAACAAAGGAAAAGGGCTGGAATTCCCACGAGGCGTTTCAGGCAGCTGAGAAAAGTGGGTTCTGTGGGAGAGAGTTTCTCCCTCTGGAGGGAACGCTGAGCTTTGGGACTTTGTAGAACGTTTACACGCACAAAAAGCCACAGCGCACTGAAGGAAAGAGGAAAACCAGGAAAGCATAACAGCTCCCCTTAACTTACTTTCACTTAGCAACGTCACTTGACCAGGAGTGCCCCAAACTTTTGCATGGTGCTTTTACAAGAAAAACACACTGAATATGGAGATAACTGACTTTAAATGATGTGCTTTGGTGTCTAGAGTTTTGCACAGTACAGTATGTGTATGTACTGTATGAATACTGACAAATGATCAAATGTTCAGGTGTTCCAGTTATGCTAAATGATAAACCTGGAATAAAAATTGTAGAGTGCTGAAAAGGCTTGGAGTCTCAGAACGTTCCTTCTGTTTGTTTGGGATCATTTTGCCAGAAAGTTCATGACCTTCTAGATAAAGGTCCAAAGGTTAAGGAACTGCTATGTAGGTACCTGTGTCGTTGACGTCCTTCATGGAGCCCCAGTACACCGACTCGCTCCAGGCGCTCCAAATCTCAGAGTTGCCGCAGACATCAGACATCCGCACCCTCACCTGGAACTCGTACCGGCTCTGAGCGCTCGGGAACGGCAGAGTGAAGGAGTTCCTCTCAGGGCTTTCGCTCTGAAGCTGAGGAGAAACAAGAAATGGATCAGAGGTAACTTCAAGCATTCCGTGATCTGTTATCAAAAAACTCAAGTCCTGCTTTTCTTTAATTGCGCATATCCTGGAAAATTAAACTTTCCTCATTTCTTGATTATTGATTCTAGCATGTAAACATTGTTGAAGTTTCTAAACATATCGTTCGCTTTTGCTATTCATCGATATTTCAGAATTTCTTACATTATTTTACTGTATTAATTTTAGCTGAATGTTTCGTTGTTGTGATTAAGGCTTTGTCGCCCCCTCTGGTGGAAACAGGAACTGTCCTAGACATACTGAACAATACAGTGTGGCTTTGAATAATAAGCTCAATTTACCTGCCAGTCTTTGTGGTTGATCTTGTACCGAACTTGACTACGTTTACAGGTCAGTTTGGTTTTACTGCTGCTTTTCCAGTAAAGCCAAAGCTCAGGGTCCTTTATCTCCACCTTGAGGTCATACGGAGGATCCAGCTTCACTGATTAGAGAACAGAGAGAATAAACAGAACTTTAAACCCCATCATGAGCTCTTTAACTGGTATAGGTTCACAGTCCAATAAATGGCAGCAGAGAGGATAATAAAAATGTGTTAAAAATGTCTTACGTCTGTGGTTGCCGTACTATTTCTGTTGCTAAAGTGAAGAAGGAAGAAACTCTACAGAGGTAGTTTGCCAGAACATCAAATTTAGACTTGTGGTTTAGCTCTGTGAGCTATCAGGTACAGACTCAGCTCAGCCCAAAGGCATTTTTGGATTTGGAAGCTTTCACTACTGCCCTTGCTATCTTTAACCAGATCACTTTTTTAGAAATTATTGATTAAATTAAAAATAGCATTCAGCCTTATCTTTCAGTAATAAACTATTCCTCTTCCTGTTTTGAAACTCATAACAGAGATTTATAACATAGATGAAAGCATACGTGTTTGTGAGCTCCTGCTGGTGTGGGTTTCCTCCCTTTCAGTGATGCACGTTTATGTGTGCTAATAGTGCCCCCTTGTGGGGAATCTGAATTATCGTGAAGAAAAGTTGGTAACACTTCCTGTGAAACCTGCATTCAGAATGTTTTATAAATGCATTATAATGGGTTATATGGCATTTTTTGTGCAACCTGATGAAGCCAAAGACAAATTTCCAGAAACGGACATTAAAGTTTATTCTATTCTATTCTTATAATGCACTACATAATAATAAGGTTCTGGTTTGATTTCTGCATAACATCCAGACACATTACAAGAGTTATATGCACTTACATTTCATTACCTGGACAGATATTGTAATGCGTTCTTATTGTAATCTGACGTTATGAAGACATATTTTCTTGTTTTCTAAAGTGTTATGCATTAAATTAATAGTAAATCTATAAGCTTATGCCAGGTATTATAAGGTCAAATGTATGCCCTTCAATGCCTTACTAAGCATTTATAAAATATATACTGAATACAGGATTCATAGTAAGTGTTCCCAAAAAGTCTAATAGAGATTTGGCTAATTGACTACATTTGGGAAAATGGGGAAATTTGGGTATATATTATTAATTTATTCATTGATTGATGTATATATTGGCTGTAGTGTAACTACTGTGAGCTGTTAAGTCTCTGTTCTTACCCATGTCAATGAGGTTACGGCGATGTTCAGCCACTACACTGCCGTTAGCGCTGTACAGCTGAGCGTGCAGGACATCAAATCTGTTCAGCTTCTCTTCGCTGTATGAAACTCTGCAGCCCACGTTGAGATCATTGACCTTTAGGTATGTCGGGCATTCAGCCTCATTACCCACTTCATATCTGAGAGAGAACACAGCCGTGTCTGAATCTGAGCAGAGCTGCAATGGACAGATTAGATCTACAGAATTAAACCGACCTGCTTCTGAAAGTGTAATTCTCCTGAGGAAGCCCGTCTTCGTCCCACGTGCAGTTTACATACTCCAGATTAATCACCACACACTTTATATCTGAGGGAAACGGGAGAGACGGAGTTTAAGCTGCTGTATATAATGCCATGTGATACTAATACTGTCTACTACTAATATTATATAATGCCATGTGAAGCTAACACTATCTACTACTAACATTATATATTATCTGATACCAATACTATCTAATATTAACATTATATAATATCTTCTGAAACTACAACTGCCTACTTGCCTACTACTAACGTTATATAATGTCATCTGGTACTAATACTACCTACTATTAACATTATATAACACCATCTGATACCAATACTACCTAATACTAACATTACATAATACCTTCTGATGCTAATACTACCTAATACTCACATTATATAATATTATCTTTTACTAATACTACCAATACTAACATTATATAATACCTTCTGATGCTAATACTACCTAATACTCACATTATATAATATGATCTTTTACTAATACTACCAATACTAACATTATATAATACCTTCTGATACTAATACTACCTAATACTCACATTTTATAATATTATCTTTTACTAATACTACCAATACTAACATTATATAATACCTTCTGATGCTAATACTACCTAATACTCACATTATATAATATGATCTTTTACTAATACTACATAATATTAACATTATGTAATACCTTCTGGTACTAATACTACCTGATACTAACATTATCTAATACCATCTGATACTATTTACTGTGTAACACTAATATTAAGATCATACTGTCTGATAATAGTATACATATATTAAATAACACTATATCATATACTAATTAATGCTATGTAACACTACTAGCCATATGACACTAAGTACTCTTAACTAATATTAAGGAACACTATATGATACTAATACTAACTAATACCAGTTATTTAATGCTAACTAATATTAATACTGTGTGACTCTAACTCCTGTATTCAGTTTAGTGCAGCTCCAGGCTGAATTTCAATAGAGTTAATTATAAAGCAAAACAACAACACGTCAATAACATGTAGAAGACTTTTGTAAATTGAACTGTATGAAAACTCCTTCAGCTCATTTCAGCAGATTATTAGAGCTGAGTAACCATTTCCTGTAAACTGCGCTGACTGTTAAAACAGTAGATTTGACATTCGAATTATATTCAAATCTCATTTCCAATTGTGTAAAAAGAGTGAAAATCTCAAACGTGGCACAAATAAGCAGTAGCAACGATATAAAACAGTAAAGTAGAACAAGAAAACAGTTAAAAACATGAATTAGAGAGAAAACGGAGGAGAAAATGGTAAATAAAGCTCACTTGTGTTGAATTTAGACGCAGATCCAGGACAGGTCCAAAGAAGAGCGAGAAAAATCGGCAAGATCATCCTGAAGAAAGAGTTTTGTAGCTGTAAAATTTTCCGTTTCTGTCTTTTGAACTTCAGCGACTGAGCGCTGTGTGTATGTGTGTGCGCGTGTGTGTGTGTGTGTGTGTGGTGTGTGTGTAAGAGAGATCGTGGTTTGAGTGTGTGTGTGTGTCAGATTTCCGGTTCTCAGGTACAGCCCCGCTTCTAAAACAGGCCTTGACATCAGTTTAAAAACAGAGAAGTGTCTTTACAATAGTCTGAACTGATCACTCAGAACACCAGAGAACTTATTTAGCACTTTATTCTGTTCCTCTCAGTAAAGAACCTGCTTTAAACACCAAAACAGTCACAGATCAGAAAAACAGTGTTTACAGTCAATTGTACGAGATATTTCAGGTCTTCAGCGTCCCCCAGCCTCTCTCATAGAATCTGTACTATACTGTAATGAAAAAGATGGGTTCTTTAGTAAAGATAATGGTTCCATACAGAACCCTGAACACTCAAAGAACCCTTTGCATAATTAAAGGGTTCTCTGCATGGTGAAATGATTCTTCAGATTGATGAAGAATGTGTTGTATATGGTTCTACATAGAACCTTTTTGAAAAGGGTTCTATGTAGTCTGCTATTTTTACGATGTCAAGCATGTAACAACACAAGAACCTATATAGAACTATACAGCACATTCTCCATCAACCTGAAGAACCATTTCACCATGCAGAGAACCATTTAAGCATGCAAAGTGTTCTATGAGCATTGATGGTTCTATATAGAACCACTGCCTTTACTAAAGAACCTTTGAAGAACCCATAGAGAAAACCATTCAAGCATTTAAATGGTTCTTTGCGTCTTTACTAAAGTCTTTACTAAAGAACCTTTGAAGAACCTTTCGTACACACTTATAAAATGTGGTTCTTCAAGGGTTCTTCATTGTTTTTTTATAGAACCATGAACACCCAAAGAACCCTTTGCATGAGTAAAGGGATTCTTTGCATGGTGAAATGGTTCTATAGTTTGATGGAGAATGTGTTGTATACAGTTCTATATATACAACAAAGTGAGATAATTTTGGTTCCATATGGCACCAATAAGGGTTCTTCTATTGTTACAAGCTTGACATTGTAGCAGTAGAAGAACTCTTTTTGGTGCTATATAGAACCTTCTACAGCACAATCTCCACCAATCTGAAGAAACTTTTTACCATGCAGAGAACACTTTAATGGTGCAAAGGGTTCTTTGAGTGTTCTTGGTTCTATATAAATTTGCTTTACTAAAGAACCCTTGGAGAACCAATGGAGAGAACCATTTAGGCATGCACTCAACATAAACCATCTTTTGTACACACTTAATAAAGGTGGTCCTTCAAGGGTTACTTAATAAGGCAAATGGCTTTATATAGATCCATGACTATTCAAAGAACCCTTTGCATGGTTCTGTGCATGGTGAAAGTGGTTCTTCAGCTTGATGGAGAATGTGTTGTACATGGTTCTATACAGAACCTTTTTAAAAATGGTTCCACATGGCACCAAACAGGTTGACATTTTAACAATGGGATTCTTTGGTGTTCATGGTTCTATATAAAAGCATTTGCTTTACTAAAGAACCCTTGAAGAACCACCTTCTGTAAGACTGTGTAAGAATGTGGATTAAACTACACTCAGACTATTAGTCACACATGAATACAGTCAGAGGAGAAAAACAGGCTGAAATGAAACCAAAGGTTAAAGTTTAACACTAAACGTCTGTACAGCAGCAGTGTGTGTGTGTGTGTGTGTGTGTGTGTGTGTGTGTGTGTGTGTGTGTGTGTGTGTGTGTGTAATTGTGGATTTCCTGTGTAGACGACGCTACACGCACAACCCCGTTCCAATAAAACTGACTTAAACATTTTTTTTGCTGAACAGATGGAACACGTACAGCGAACCGGTGTAACGATAATTCATAATAGATTATAGACTCTCGCTGAGTCGACATCCCTGCTAGACAAACCAGCACAGACCACATTGCAAAACAGAGCATCTTATCAAGAGAAATGATCTTAAATCTAGTCAATATGTCCAATATTTCTCCTCTTAAGACTGTTGTAAGTTTATTTTGTAGATTATTTAACTTATTTCCGAACATTTTTTACTTGTTCTAAATAATTTTGTTTAAATTTACATAAACAAGGTTACTTAAAACAAGTAAAAAGAAAAATTAAAAAATTAAAAAAATGTACATTAAAAAAAAAAATGACTTGTTTTTCGGTTTTTGACATAATTTGAAAATGCCTGTCATTCTTTACATTGTCTTTAAACTTCATGATGAAACGGCCCAAAAGTCTGGTTCCACTGAATTACATTAAAAGTAAAGAATGTTTTTATTATCATTTTCATTTTATCAGTATTTTATCAGTATAGTAAGATAAATTTACTTAATAAAATCACTTAAAACAGGTAAAAATGTCTAAAAATAAGTTAAATAATTTTAATAATCTCTTCGAAAAAAACAGCTTATCGCAGCTGTCAGAACAAAAACTCCTTTCTCCAGTTTTGCCGTTTTTCAGTTTTTGACATGATCTGGAAATGCCTGCTGGCCTTTACGTTGAGTGCAAATTTAAAATGAAACGGCCCAAAATTACTGTGAAAAACATCTGGTTCCATTGACATTAAAAGTAAAGTACACGTTTCCTTCTGTACACCGCAAAAAATAGTATCTTGTAAAGTCTAGTCAATGTATTTATGATTTCTTTTTTGAGATGGGTGTGCACTTATTATAAGATTATTTAGCTTATTTGTAGACACTTTTACCTGTTTTAAGTGATCTTGAAGTGAAATTTGAAGTAAGTCCTGTCCTCCATGTAGTCCTTGCATACAGTCCCCAGCATGGTTCGCTCTGCCACGTGGAGATGGTTCAGTCGCTCAGGGAGAGGAGTAAGAATGTATGTTTTCTCCACTGCTACGGAGAGAGCAATCACTAAAACAGCACAAAACAAGGGTGTTTGTTACAGAAGGCTGAGCCTGACTGAAGAAACAAGGTGTATGTAAAAGGTACCAAACTGTTACAGATATAATAGAACTCAGTACTGTCAGAGTTACAGGTGACAGTAAGACAGATCAGGTGAGATGAGGCAATGGGGTAGCATCTCCAAGTAGTATAAAAAGGGTTGATTTTTGCCTGGTTTTTAGTTGCTGCTTGGGCAAAATCAGATTAACGCTTGTTGGTTAAAAACCTTAATCTTCATAAAAGAAACTGTGCCTTTCCTGCCAATCCTGGTGTTTTGATTTTTAAGTTTTTGAGTAGAGCTGGTTATTTTTCCACAACATACTAATAACGTTCGTCTGCGTCAGTCAGACATAACTAAAGATAACATTAAAGAGGTGTGTAAATTAGCCCAGACCATGTCCGATGCCGTAATACGCTCCGGCCACATCACAGTTAGACATGGTGCCGGTTACAGCCGGTTATGGTCACTAAACTGCAGGTTGTCCAAGTGGTGCTCAGAAAACAATGTGGGCTTTGTGGATGATTAGTCTACCCTCACATTTTCTCACTCTGATTGAAATAATGTCACACCGATAGATTAACTCTTTAGTGTCTGACTCGTCTCAGCCCAGTCTGAGTAAATAATACACTGATCAGACATAACATTCTGACCACCTCCTTGTTTCTACGCTCATTGTCCATTTTATCAGCTCCACTTACTATATAGGTGCACTTTGTAGTTCTACAGTTACAGACTGTAGTCCATCTGTTTCTCTGATACTTTGTTAGCCCCCTTTTACCCTGTTCTTCAGTGGTCAGGACCCCCATGGACCCTCACAGAGCAGGTACTATTTGGGTGGTGGATCATTCTCAGCACTGCAGTAACACTGACGTGGTGGTGGTGTGTCAGTGTGTGTTGCACTGGTGCGAGTGGATCAGACACAGCAGTGCTGCTGGAGTTTTTAAACACCTCAGTGTCACTGCTGGACTGAGAATAGTCCACCAACCAAAAATATCCAGCCAACAGCGTCCTGTGGGCAGCGTCCTGTGACCACTGATGAAGGACTAGAGGATGACCAACACAAACTGTGCAGCAGCAGATGAGCTATCGTCTCTGACTTTACATCTACAAGGTGGACTGACACGGTAGGAGTGTCTAATAGAGAGGACAGTGAGTGGACACAGTGTTTAAAAACTCCAGCAGCACTGCTGTGTCTGATCCACTCGTACCAGCACCACACACACTAACACACCACCACCACGTCAGTGTTACTGCAGTGCTGAGAATGACCCACCACCCGAATAATACCTGCTCTGTGGGGGTCCATGGGGGTCCTGACCACTGAAGAACAGGCTAACAAAGTATCAGAGAAACAGATGGACTACAGTCTGTAACTGTAGAACTACAAAGTGCACCTATATAGTAAGTGGAGCTGATAAAATGGACACTGTGCGCAGATCTGGATCACAGAACTCTGTCAGTGTAGAAGGAGAACACTGCTTTTCTCACTCAGCACCAGAACCTCTCACAGTGATCTCTTTTCTCCTGAGGGGGATTCAGGACAAGAGAAATAAAAGAATATTGATATCTGCTTTAGTTCTTGGAGACGAGAACATTTCTTTCTTAAGCTTTTAAACAAGCAGATCAGGATTCATACAGCCTGGTATTTATTTAATGATGCCATATTTTTATGTATATAAAGTGCTTCATAAGTAAAAATGAACCTTAACGTTTGCTAACATATAGATACACATATACATGAATGTACATTCAGTTTAAAGCACAACTCTTTTAACTCTCTGGTTTAAACTGTGGATGAGGTTTAGGAGTAAAGTGCTGGATTACATGCACTGCAAGAAATAATATCTTGTCAAGTAAAATGATCTTAAATCCAGTCGATATATCTAATTTTCCCATTTTGAGATGGTTACTTTGTCATACTTTGACATTTTTACTTGTTTTAAGTGATTTTATTAAGTAACTGTACGGGCAGATAATTTAGCTGGTTTTGAGCTCATTTCTTTCAACAAGCAGAATTATATGCCAACAAGGTGAGATAATTTTACTTAATAAAATCACTTAAAACAAGAAAAATGTCTAGAAATAAGGTAAATCATTTTAAATTAAGTTTACAACAATCTCAACAGAAGAAATATTAGATTTATCTACTATATT